AGCTTGAGGAGATTCGGGCTTATGTCATGATCCGACAATCGGCCTTGCCACCAGATGATCGGAAGAAGATCATCATGGACTGTCAAGGAAAACTGGTGTATCGGGATGCACGGAAAAGCATCAAACTCTTGGGTTCAAAATTCTTCCAAGACCTTCAGGGCAGTGGAAAGTCTTCGAGCCGCACCAAGACCTATGATGTTAACTACACCGAGGAACCTGAGGACATGGCCTCCTTTGTTGCCCAGGACATGGAAGTGGATGAGGACATCCTGATTCAAAGCCTGGTCGATGAGGGAGATGAAGATGCTCACTTCATCCAGGACTTCGAAGAGCAGATTCTACTGACATGCCAGGACTCACCTGAGTTGTCGTCTTGCTTCGTGACGTACCAAGAGGCAAGAGAAAGGCTGAAGGAGAAAGCTCGTGGACGGGGTTTCTGGCCGATCCGTCCTGGGTTCAATGCAAAAGGGAAAGGAAAACATGGTGGAAAGAAATCCAAAGGAGGAGGCAATCTGATGATGAAAAGGAGGAGTTTGGCAGAAAGGATCGCAAACTCCACATGTCGAAAGTGTGGACAGCCGGGGCATTGGCGCCGAGAATGCCCCTTGAACAATAGCCCTGACAAAGACAAGGGCGTGTTCACGGGCCTTTCCATGGAAGAGCCAGAGGCGCTTGAAGAGACCTATGTGGATGTCATGAACCATCTGCCAGAGGATGCGGAGATCTACGAGCAGGACGGGACTTCAGGACTCCATGGGGTTCAACGCATGTACAAAGCTGTGAATCAAATCTTTAAGAATATCAGCCAAGGTTTCCAAGTTTTGAAGAATCGCCTAGAGAGTGCATGCAACATGACGCAACAAGAATCTCATGCATGTTTCATGACAAGTGATTATTTAAAGTCCCATGATGCACACCATTTGAAAGCATCCACCTTTTCAACATGCCTTGCAACCCGTTTGAGCGAATGCTGTAGGAAGCATTTCAACTTGCACCGTGATGCTTCTGCAGCGCCAGCCACCACAGCCGTGACAGCCAAGCATGTGGGCAACGGTGCTGTCTCTCCAGAGGAAGACAGTTTTTCCGTAGCTGCCTGTCTTTTTAACAACGAGGAAGCAGCAGGGGAAGCCATAATCGATACTGGGGCCAGTAGGGCTGTGATTGGTGAAGAAAGGGTTCCTGGATTACTTGAGTCACTTCCCAAGGATTTGAGGGGTTTGGTTTATCGGGCTCGTACCCCTGGTGTGACTTTCAAGTTTGGAAATTCATCTAAGCTGACTAGCAGATTTGCCATCCTGCTTCCTCGACGTCAAAATGGCTGGCTGAGAGTGGAGGTAGTGCCAGGGCAGACACCGTTCTTGATATCAAACTCTATCCTAAAGGGATTAAAGGGGATTATTGATGTCGATGAACAGATGTTGCACTTCAAGGGTCATGAGGGTGGTATTCAGCTTCATCCATGTAGGAAGAATCTTCTGGGGGTAAATGTTGCGGAATTATTGACAAAATCACCACCCACGAAGGTAGGACAAGGGATGGAGGATGAGACGATCATGCATGTTGAAAACACGAAAGAACAACAACAGTACCAGGACCATGAAGTGCGGGAGACAAATGGTGTTACACGACCTCAAATGCCATGTCATGCCAAAAATCCCAACCACTCTGTTTTGGTTAATGAAAACATCCAAAAGGGTATTGAAAGGCAATCTCGAATCATGAACCAGGGGTTACATGTAACTTTTCAGACACCAAGTGAGAATCCTCAGTGCAATCAGCAAGACCATTTCAGTGATCAAGATCTTACAGCCAATTCGAACGTTCCAGCTCATCATGTCAGATCGCCATGGCCCAAAGTATCTGGAACGGGAACTTCAAGTTCCCGACGATCCCTCGCTCACCTTTCAGGTGTCCCGGAGCGAGCAGACCGAGATCACGAAGCCTCCGGGGATCAACAGTCTCCAGGAATGGGGACAACTCAAGGCACCAGCAGGGAAACATCCAGGAAAGACCTTCGCTCAGATTTATGCGGAGGATCCCAACTACGTTTATCAGATGAAGAACCGGAAAGGTGTGTCATCCTGGGTAAAAAGTTTTCAGATGTACAGCCTGGCACGGATCGAAGCAGCTCATCAGGAGACAATCACTGGCAGTCAGATGCCGCTGCCACCGCAAAGAGCATCCAAGACATCATCGTCGATGCACAATTCTCAGGGCGAGTGGATCACAGTGAGCAGCATGGAGCCAGTGTCCAAGACTCACGGACCTATGAAAACCGAGAACAAGAGATCGATCGAAGAGACCAAGACATCCATGATGGTGGAACACGATCCCCAGAAGGTGCAGGAGATTCAGACCAAGATTGCGCTCTTGCAACGAGAGCTGAATCAGCAGATGTACAGCGAAAGCCAGGCTCAGGGATCAAAGAATCCATCCGAACCAGCGTAGATGAACTGTCTAAGGAAGTCGCATATATCATGGATGACCAACCTTTGACATGTCTAAGTCCTGTAGAAGAACAACAAATTCACCAAGCAATATATGAACGATCGAAATTGATCGATGAGGAGCTGACGAAAATGTCAAAAGATTTGTTGTTTACCCAGGCCAAGACAGGATTCCGAAAGAGACAATCAGGTGGTCTTCATGTCCATGAAACTACGGTAGACGTACTGGAAGTTTACTGTGACCCTCAGTCTCAACTTGTCCATCAAACAAACTCACGATATGGAAAGGCCATTCGTTTCACAAGAGATGATGGGGATTTGGGGACCGAAGAAGGGGTACAAAAGTTGTGGACATGGATTCATGCCTATGAACCAAAACATATATGGGTAGCACCCGAATGTCGACTTTGGGGGAAATTTTCCCGGTTTAATATGGGGAGGAGTACTCAGTTGTTTGACAAAATCCATCATCAAAGAGAGGCCGACCGACACCACTTGAAACTGTGCAATGACATGTACTTGCACCAAGTTAGTCATAATAGGCATTTCCATTTGGAACAGCCCTATGGTTCGGAAATGATGGCCCAACCTGAATTGATGGACACAAAGTTGGGTACCCTGCCCGCAACCTTTGACATGTGCCATGTCGGTGGACTTCAATTACCCCATCATGATGGTTTCTTGCAAAAACGGACCCAAGTCTTCACCACCAGTAGGCATTTGTTTGAGTTGCTCAACTATCAATTTTGTAAGAAGAATCATGTTCATGTTCCCATCAAAGGTCAAACCAAAATTAAGGGTAAATGGGTTCAAATCTCCAGTTATGCCCGGGCATATACAGCAGGTTTTGCACGGAAAGTAGCTCAGGGTTTATGGGAGGGAACCCAAAAGTGGGAACGACCATTGGTGGTGGATGAAATGATTTTGGGACTTGAAGAACATGACAAGCCCGAAATGGCACCAGAGGCGCTGCAGCTGCAAAAACGTCGACGCGTCAATGCAAAGCAACCAGAAACTTCGATGTATGGAAAGGCTCCAACATGGGAGGCTGTTTTTCGAACAGTTGGGTACCAGACCCCAAGGGTTGGCAATTTTTATTTTGGGGAGAGTGAGTTGGTCACAGGGTTGGTTCAACAACTGGTTCCCGAGCTCAAGATCAAAACCATGGTTGCTTGCAGGGGCACAGATCGACACAGAGTCCTACCATCCAGACCTGGCAGTGAAAGATATCCTTGGCGTAAAACGGTAATTGTAGGAAGGGAGGATGGTAGGGTTCATGAGATTGGACCGATTGAAGAGTGGATTCGTCTTCCCAAACTCAGACAAGTCAGGGCCACTGGACCAGCCAAGATATCACTGACCATGTTTGGATATAGGAATGATCCCATGCATCCTATGGATCCAAAGGGTCCTCAGGGTGCTCATATGCCGGCGTCCCACAGTCATGCGGCTGAGCATGCAGTTCCAATTGAGGAGCAGCATTTACCGTTTGCAGGTGAGTCGACAGCAGCTGAGCCGTTCCCCGACTCACCAATGTGTGAGTCTTTGCAAGTTCCGGCTGCTAACCCACGTGCAAGGGGTACTGATGTTGCCTGGGCTCCCAAAATCATCCCAAAATCTGGGCCAAAATTTTTGGGTTTGGATAAAGAAGTTCAAAGGGATTTACGTCGATTGCATTCGAATTTGGGGCACCCTGATCCTGTCAGAATGGGAAAGTTTCTCACTGAAAGGGGAGCCAAACCTGAAGTGATTCAAGGGGCCATGGATATGCAATGCGATGTGTGCCTGGAGTCCCAAGGAAAACCACGGCTTTCACAACCAGCACGAATACATGAGAATCTTGAATTTAATGATGTTGTTGGTTGTGATGGGGCTTATTGGACCAGTTCGGCCGGTAAGAAGTTTCATTTCATGCATTTTATTGATGAAGCCACGTTATTCCATGTAGGGATTCACAGTGACAGGCACTTTGAGGCACAGGTCAAAGCCTTTGAAACGGCATGGTTGACCTGGGCTGGACCATGTAAAGTCCTCTATATGGACCCAGCAGGGGAATATAACAGTGAGGAATGGCCGCAATACCTTCAAACTGAAAATATCAAAGCATCCATGACTGCAGCAGAGGCACATTGGCAAAATGGTAGATGTGAGGTTCATGGAAGGGTTTTGAAAGAGATGTTGACTCGCATGGACAGGGAATTTCCCGTGACTACCGATGAAGAGTTTCAACACCATCTTCGTCAAGCCTGTGCTGCCAAGAACTCACTGAGTAGGATTCATGGTTTCACTCCAGAGCAATGTTTATTGGGCAAAGCCCGAGCTCTTCCTGGATCCATTGTCTCGGACGAAGGAACTGGTAGTCATGCAATTGCAGAGAGCGACACAAGTGAGGGACATTGGTTCAAAGAGAGTCTCCGCAGAAGGGAGATAGCACGACGTGCATTCGTCCAAGCGGACAATGACTCGGCGTTTCGAAGAGCTTTGCTGAGGAGGAACCGACCGGGAACAATAGAATTTGAATCAGGGGACTGGGTACTCTATTGGCGTCAAAATAAGGCCAATTCACGTAATGAGCGTGGACGCTGGCATGGGCCTGCTCAAGTGATTGTTGTTGAAGGTCGCAAAGCTGTTTGGTTGAGCCATCTTGGACGCATCATTAGAGCCAGTCCCGAACAAATCAGACCGGCATCCTTGCGAGAATACCACAGGTTGCCTCGGAATAGCCATGGGGAAGTCGTTGATGAGAATCCACAGGGTAGGGGTTTTGTTGATTTGGGGAATGATGTACCTGATGATGTTGAATCTGAAGGTTATTCACCCTCTATTGGGGAAACACCACCTGAAACACCCATGGACCAATCGCAACCTGAAGGAGAGATGTTTCCGCCCGAGTCTGTTTCAACTGAAAGCCCACTGAACTCTGGAGAAAATGAGGTCGAATCCGAAAAGGTTGAACCACATGAGGTACCAGTGCCCGCATGGGGTTCGGATGATGAGGATGGTTTGTGTGCTTTTGGGGACGACCTCATAGAACCCGAATGTGAGGCTGGAGTTTGGGAAATCAATATAGCCACTGAATCCTTTCAGAATTGCCAGGATGATCCTCAGGAAAATGATCGTGATCCAATCCATACCTTGTTTGCTGAACATGTTCTTGTTGCAAGTAATGCCCGAAAACAAAAGGTTGAGGTGCAGTATCGAGGTCTGAGTGATGGGGATAAGAAGCTGTTTGATGCTGCAAAACAGAAGGAAATCAAGGCATGGATCGATCACGGAACGGTTCAAAAGGTGACCAGAGGAACTTTAAAACCTGAGCAAATAATGCGATGTCGCTGGATTCTCACTTGGAAAGCTCCAGAAGTAGGAGGGGTTGAGCGTCGTGCAAAGGCACGATTGGTTGTTCTAGGCTTTGAGGACCCAGGTTTGGCAGAGGTCCCACGAGACGCGCCAACGTTGTCCAAAGATGGACGCCAACTCCTTCTACAGCTGGTAGCTAGTAAAGGATGGAGTTTGCTCAATTTCGATATCTCTACTGCCTTTTTAAAGGGGAAGGGTGATGGACGACCATTGGGGATACATGCACCAAGTGGTTTGGGAGAAGCAATGGGTCTTCGAGATGGGGAGCAATGTCTTCTTAAGGGTGGAGCATATGGCCGGGTTGATGCACCATATCTCTGGTATAAGGAGCTCAGGAAAGTTTTGGAGTCACTTGGTTTTGTAGCATGCCCTTTTGATGGTTGTCTTTTTGTGTTGGTCACCCAAGACACCACAGGCAGTCCCAAAGTGAGAGGAGTGCTGGGAGTACATGTTGATGACGGCATTGGGGGAGGGGATTCGTACTATAGAAGTATCCTCCAAAAGTTAAGGGAGCGGTTCAGTTTTGGGGCGTATAATGAGCATGAGTTTGACTTTTGTGGGGTACATTATCGTCAGTGGGATGATGGAACTATTGAGATGGATCAAAGGGATTATGTAAGGAAGATAGAGCCTATCAATGTTCCCAAGAACCGCCGTGCCAGCCCCGATGCCGATCTCAGCGACATGGAAAAATATTTTCTCCGTGGCTTGTGCGGAAGTCTCCAGTATGCTGCTGTGCATACACGGCCAGACTTAGCAGCGAAGGTGGGACAATTGCAAGCCACCATCCCACGTGCAAAGGTCAAGGACTTGTTGGAAGCCAATCGTGTTCTTTATGAGGGGATACGGCATGAAGTTTGTTTGATGATTGTTCCCATTCATGTTTCCAATGTGACCTTTTGCGCCTTTTCAGATGCCTCCTTCTCCTCGGCCACCAACTTAGCATCAAGACAGGGGACATTGATTTTCTCAACTGATGGGATGTTGTCCAAAAATGAAATGTCAGTTGTGTGTCCGATGGCATGGAGCTCGAGGAAAATACCCAGGGTAGTGACTTCAACTTTAAGTGCAGAGGCAATTGCCTTGAGCACGACCCTGGACCGCCTCAGTTACATAAGGATAGTGTGGGAATGGTTGAAAAATCCCGGCATCAACTGGGCTGAGCCAAATGAAGTTTTGAGCAATGCACCCCATTGTAATGCGGTGACAGATTGCAAATCCGTTTTCGATGTGTCAACGAAGACGGCACCACCGGCGTGCCACGAACATCGAACCCTTTTGGAGTGTCTTTTAATTCGAGAACGTTTGCAAGAGAACATCTCTCTCCGGTGGATCAACTCTCAAGCCATGCTAGCGGACTCCCTTACAAAGAGCATGGAATCGGGTTTGTTACGGGAGTGTTTGAAGAGTGGTCGTTACAAGCTTTTTGATGAGAGTGAGACTTTGAAACAAAGAGCCACCAAACGAGAGAAGTTGAAATGGTTGCAAGGCAACTCTGGTGCAGCTCATGAACTAGGGAAATAACACTGTCTTTCTTAAAATAAAATTTTGATTTTAGACCAGTGTTGATTTGGGAATCACGTTCATGAGCTTCTGAGGCACCTTCCTTTACTTGGATCGACGGCCCCCGCTCGTTGGTTCGAACCACCACAGAGGTGGGAGGGTGAGGCATTCAGAGCCAAAAGAAAGGCACAGCTGACAGGGTCGCTAGGCAGGGAAACAGGGTTTCTCCAACAATCTTGAAGGGCATATTCGCAATATATGTATAATATTACGAATATATATATATATATGTACATGTAATGTATGTATTTGTATGCATATGTATATATATATGTACATACAATGTGCACATGTATTATCTGTGTACATACATACATACATACATACATAGATACATAGATACATAGATACATAGATACATAGATACATAGATACATAGATACATAGATACATAGATACATAGATACATAGATACATAGATACATAGATACATAGATACATAGATACATAGATACATAGATACATAGATACATAGATACATAGATACATAGATACATAGATACATAGATACATAGATACATAGATACATAGATACATAGATACATAGATACATAGATACATAGATACATAGATACATAGATACATAGATACACATAGATACATAGATACATAGATACATAGATACATAGATACATAGATACATAGATACATAGATACATAGATACATAGATACATAGATACATACATACATACATACATACATACATACATACATAATGCGTGGAATGGAATGGAATGAAACGAAACGACATGGAATGGAATGAATGAGCGAATGACTGAATGAATCAATGAAAATACGAATGGGCAGTGAATGAATGAATGAAATGAATGAATCAATGAATGAATGAATGAAAGAAAGAATGAACGAATGAATGAATGAATGACTGACTGACTGCAGAGCCGTTTTTTTTTTTTAAATTTTGACCATTTTTTTTTATGTTTTGAACCAAGTTTGGACGCAAAACAGCGACAGTGCAGTGTCTATACATCCGAATTGTTTGAATCTGTCCCTGCACCACGCCAGGGCCGAATCACCAATTTTTTTTTCTTCTGTGTCGGAGTGAAGGCGGAGACCACATGTGACTAAAAACTTCGCAAACTCTCACCCTAAATTGTTGTTGTTTTTTTTTAAAAGTTTTTTCATTCATTGCTATTTTGTTCATCATTTAGTATTATTGTCATTACAACTTATTTATGATTCTTGTGATTGTTTTTGTATTTCATGGCTATCATTATTATTGTCATTATTTGGTTTGAGTTTATATATATATATATATATTTGAATTATTGATATTACTGTCAAATATCATCGTCATCATATTACTTTCATCATAAATACGTTTTTGTTTGGAACATGCTACATCCAATTGTTGATCGTAATCACCATACTAAAATTGGACTGCATCAACTCCTTTTTGAAAATTCGAACCTTGACCTGCTTCGGTAAGGCATCACGGTACCTTCATGATTTCAGATTGTCACAGATAGATATTTTTCACGTCAGCTGTGAGGGTTTTTTGGCCATGATTTTTCTTTGGCAGCTCCAAATTTGACCACTTCGTTTGGTTTTCATTTTTGGAAAACATGATGTTTCACCTGAAAATTTGACAAACCACCAACGGTTTGGTTTTCATTTTTGGAAAACATGATGTTTTCTGGCACCTTTTTTGAACCGCCGCCGAGGAGGGTGCCCTCTATGTCCATTCACGTGAACCCTTGCTGGGAGATCCCATGGTTGCTCGGTACCGGTGGACTGATGATGGCGAATTGTAGGTGATTATATTAAATACATAGGCCTTATATAGGCCTGAAATATATGGTAGATAGCTCCAATCAATCGGTTGAAATGGCCATTGATATAGTATTGATGTTGGGAATTAATCATCCATGAAGTGGGAATCCCTATCATCCCCCGATGAACTGACCAGAAACAATGGAATGATGTTGCAGGTTGTGAACGCTGTTCACTTGCGTTTGTTGAACAAATACTCTACACTAAAGGTCTACCCAGAAATCCGAAGGTAAACCATCCCCTCAGACGCTTGGAGAGCCACGTTCAAGGTAGCTATTCGTGTCATCGAGGACGTCTGGGGCTTAAGCAACCGCCCAAACATGGAATTTGGAGATGCTTTGGCGGATCTTTCGATCCAGTCCAGAGCTTTTCACCCCTACCCAAAGTTTGGGTCAGATTCTGATGGATCAGATTTCGAAACTGAATTCTTCATTCCCGAAAGAATTTCTAGGTGTGTCCCAAAATTTCGGACGCTCGAATTGGCATGTGAATGAGAAACATGTTTTTAGAACACATTGGATTTTGGGGCTCCACATGTTGGGAAAACGAATATCATGTCAAAAAGAATATATGTTTATATATATATATGTATTATGTATATATATATATACACATACATATATCCAATAACGTATGATAGTGATATCTTAATAAAATGGTTGATGGTTGCTTTGATAATCCCTTTTTAAAGTACCAAAGCCCAAAATTGATGATTAAACCCGCAATACATCATCCCAATGTTACCTCGGGTGATTGTATCCCATTACATCCCATTGCATATCATATTGTATATCCATTTAATATCCCACTACATTCCATTATATCTCATTATCTGCTACAACAATATCCAATTACATCCCATTCTGGTCAAATCCAATCATATCCCCATGTTTCCTGATGATTGCTGGTTAGTCCTCCCCTAAAACAGAGGACTAGATTGTTCCCCAAAAAAGGGGTCACGACCGATCTATCTACCCCATATTTTTGTGCGTCTGAGAGAGGATACCGAGCCCAACATGGCAATTTGTTACGGGGCTCCAAACCATCAAATGTGGGAAAGTTACAAAACTCCCGTTAACACCGCGATGGTGTGTTCAGACAAACCCATACTTATATATATATATATATATTGGGAATAATAATCCCAACTGACTCATATTTTTCAGAGGGGTAGGTACACCACCAACCAGCATATCATGGTGGTTTTTTAAATACCCAGCCACAGTGTGGGGCCACAGCTTGGGTCATCGGGTCAGGTGGAGCGTGTGGTGTGCCGAGCTTTATGCAGTGGTCGTATCACAGAGGCAATTGATGCTGGGTTTAGGTCGAGTTTTTTGGGGGTCCCCACCAAAGATAGACATGTGAATTATATAGAAATGTGCAATTTTTTATGAACTGATATGATACATTCTTTGTTTTTGGGTGATATGCTGTTATAGACCTAGTTGTGCTTACAGATATAGTTGTTTTGAGATGTGAGATTGAATCAATAAGGAATGCAATGGATCAATGTAGATGTACATGGTTTGAATTGGTGTGAAGGATTTGGAACACCCATGGTTTGAGTTGGTATATAGATGGATATCGATCACTTTTGGTTGAACTTCGGATTTGGTGACCCAATCTATAGCTAGCATCCAGCCATTTGGTACATCACCACATGCAGCTGACTCGGAGGATCATCCCTTCAAATCTTTTTCGCAAGGTGTGTTGGGCTTGTGCATTCCAAGACTTTTGAGCTCCAAGTCGGACAGCTGAATCATGCTGAATCAATTGATTTACCGGCAAGGTGAAGGCATCCAATCTGCAAGCCCTTGATGTGCGCCCCTTGCGAGCTGGCAGCTCGGGGTAGCCGCAAAGAACGAAGGTTGGAAATCATGAAGTCCCCTAACTCCTGACGTTGAGGCAGTTGAGGTTCACTTTTTTTTTTGCCTTCACCTTGCCAGCCTTGCCCAACTCTTTTTTTGGATGAGGATCCTCCAATGAGAATCCCAGGCCTCCAGTAGCATGGCGGCCCTGACAGCCTTCGAGGCCCGTAGAGCACCATGGAATTTGAACCCCAGTTGGAATTCTTGGGACCCGTATGATACGTATGGCTACCGTATGGCTACCGTGTGGCTACCGTATGGCTAATGATGAAATAGATCACGGAATCGCAGGAACTGAGTAACTGCCTGCCAGGAACTCTTCTTTGTTGGAGATCCGGAAGAGCCGACTCAGGACTTGGTCTCCATGAGAAGACGCCTAGAGCATCCTAGAGCTAGCATTTCTGTATATTTCTATCATTTCTAATCACCCTCGGGGAATCTCTACAGCTTCCCAGGAGCAAAGTGGCTTCGGAGTTGTCCAGCTCGGACAGTGTCTTGGCGCGTTCATCAAGGGTGCTTCCCCCGTGGGAAACCCCTTTTTTTTGGTGGGAAACCCAACAATCACAGTATGAGATTAACTGCAAGGCTTGTTATATTCATGTTGAGATATACAATCAGAACTATATCAAAAATATCCGAGTTGTTATATTACTGCGATGGTTGTATATCCCAGTTGTATTCCACTGTACCCTCTTGTCATTTAACATAGCTATGGAACATCACCTTTTTTGGTCAATCATGATGTTCATAATCTATAAATGGGCTATGGCTTCCATAGCTGTGTTACATGAATCACCAGAGGGTAATCCCATTATTCCCATTGTATTTAAATTAGATGCTATTAAATCTTGATAAATACCATTATATATATATATATGTTATATTCCCATTAAATAACCAGAGGGTAATATCAGGCTCACGGCGCAGAAGCTCTCGGATTACTTGGTGGATTGCTGGCTGGGACGCACAGTCGGAATGGCCTGGAGATGGGGCTTGCAGCGTTGAACCCTCCATTTATGGCCGTCAAAAGAATAGGAAAATATGCTGCTCCAGCAGTAGTTACGGTAGCCTCGAATACCCCAATTTTCAGACAAACACAAATTTTTCGGAGTTGAAAGCAATGACATGGGATTACATTTTCCTACCCATGACAGCCATGACAGTGAAGAATCGTGCTTTTGCGACAGACTGGCGGGAATTTGAACAAGGGATGAAAGAGTGCTCAGTTCGTGTCAGTTCTATTTCGGGGACATCTGTTCATTCGGTTGGTTTAAAGAAAAACTCTACAAGAAGCCACGGATTTTAACGAATAACCATTGGAGTTTCTATAACAGACATTTTTCCTCAACCGAAATCTGGCACCTGCCGTCCATGTTGATCCGTTCTTCTGCAGCATTGAGCTAGGGCTCAGAAAGAGATCCTGATTGTCTAGCACACTTGGGTTTACAGGTCCTTCTAGTTTCCAACAACCCTCGTTGGTGGATTATAGACTTTATGATTGCTTCTCTGGATGTTTTCTTCCGTTCGCTTGCTTTTTTTCAAGGGGAATCGAAGCATCAATCAGAATTCTGAATTGTCTAGTAATTGAAGATGCCTCTTCGGGATTTTCAACTTTTCGGTCTGTCTTTCCATTAAGCTGCAGGCCCAGGTTTTTTGATGCGGTGACATCCGACCAGCTTTGTTGAAGATGATGGGACTCAGACTCTCAATTGTCCTCGGTCTATTTTTTGGGTGGGTAATTAAATGTTTTGGATATGTAAAAAACACGGTGATCATCTCATGGTACCTCGCAAGCACCGAGAATTAACCCAGCGAGGCCACCCGAGTCGCCAGTTCCCATGCGGGGACTGATTTGGGTGTTGAGGCCGATGGTGATTTGGCAGCGCCCCTAAAATGAAGATATCCAATACACGGTGCAGGGGCAAGGGTTATTTTTTCGGGATGGAAGGTTGTTTTTGTTGATTTTGCAGGATGATGCCAGCAAGATGAGAATTTCACAACTAATAAAAGGATTTTAACCTTAAATCAGTTGGCCATTTCACCAGCAAGACTTGTCACTCTACCTCATTTTACTCCAAAGTCTGGGGAACGTGGTAAACCCAGGAGTAATTTGGGGGTATTATGAACCATCCCAATCTGGGTGATACGGTGGCTTTACCACATCATTTCCATGAGATGCTGTAAGGATACTGCTGACGGCGGCTCCAAGGATGTAGCCCAAAATTCGCCGGTTTCTCATCATTTTCTCCATCCAAAATTGCAATCAGCTGTGTCCGTAGAACAGAAGTCGCTTCGGGACAGGCCCTACTTCATTGATTGGCTGCAGCGGCGACAGCGGTGCCACAGCTGATGGGGATTCGGCAGGGTTCCCCCATGGCTTGCTTCCATTCCCATCAGCTGGCCGAAGTTCGGTTCAGTTTTTATATGAAAATGGTACTATGGTACCTATAAAATTGTCACATCCTTAGTTGCCATCATGGCTTTATTCGTTAACACAACATCCACATCCATTCGATTTCCCGTCGCACTGCGCTGGGTAGGCTCCGGCTCTTTACGCAGCTCTTGGTGTCCATGCCGGACTCCGCGTGGGGGGGCATGGGTTTTGGTGGCTTTTTGGGGTTGAACCATGTCGAAACTTTCAAGGGTTTCCATGGCAGAGATGGCTCAAGAGAAAAAATCCACGCTGCGATTTCCCAATCCGAAGCATAAAGTCGTGGATCACTCATGTCGTCTCTTCCGCCCAAGGTTCAAGCGCTTTACTTCACAAGGTGCTGAGGCCCCACTACAGGTGGGGCCAGGGCGGCTTCGCCCTTTCAAACCAAAGAATACCAGAAGATGCGTTTGATGATAGTTGTTGGTTCAAGTATCACAGAGAGAGAGAGAGTCTTTTCATTGCCATTTTTTTGTATATATTTCATCCAGACCGTTCAAAATTCTAGAATGAACACTAGTGACACTCGTGTTGATGCGGGTTTGTCTGAACATATGACCATATTGACCATATGCGAAGCCAAACTTTGATGGTTGATCAGAATTTCCCTTTGGGTTTATGTCCATGACAGGGTGGGACACCCCACTGCCACAAGGCACTGATGGATCTCACGGAGCGTGACCTTTTAGTGGCCGCCAGCTCAGCCGAGCGATGAATGAGTGACATGTGCCATGGTCGAAAAGTTGGATGATCTGTTGAACATGGTGATTTAATGGGATATACATGGAGATACAGTGGGATGTATAACAATCTTATAGTCAAGAGTTGCATCAGATGGACCCATTGGGGGATGGTCGTATCACCATCAAAAACGGGAATCATAATGGCCAATGTAAGGATTTCCAAACATGGTAACCACTCTATAAAAATGTTTTGACCATGGCACATGTAGAGAAATGTATGACTGGATAGCCTCTGCGTTCTTCAATCACTTTTTTGGACCATGAGACAGTGTCATTCTTTCAAGAAATTCAAGCAGGGCTGTCATGTTTCTCCCCCTGCACACCTGGAGAAGCTGAATCAGGCCACTCTGGTCTCCACACCGGTGGAAGAGCGTTCCCGTCTCTATGCCTGCAGCCGAGATGGGATTGGGGTGTACCGAAGCTGAATGTGTTCCCAACTGATTGGGGTGCCAAAATTTGAAAAAAATGTGGCCGGGATACCCTCTGGTACTCAAACTATGGCAATTGAAAATCCCATATCAATTGGAGGTTTTCATGGCAAATCAATTCTACATGGAGTCCTTTCCATTCAGCCAGGTCTGATTAGCAGAGGATATTCCTATTGAACCCAGAATATTCTCCCAAAACGCAGGGGCAGATGCCCAGCCGGGTAGACATGCCTTCGTGCGCGCAAGCGGCAAGGCCTGTGTTGCAGAGAATGACCTGCCACTGCCCTTGGCCTTCTCTGGATTGAGGTCTCCAAAGGGTTGGGACTGGGGGGTTGGGATCGTTAATATCCCCAAATGGCTAGTGACTACATTCTTGGGGATGAAGATCCAGTTTTTGGTGATGTTTTAGAGGTCAAATCCATGGATTTACCAAAGTTTTCGGATGAAGATCCACAACTCTTAGCTATTTTGCTGTGAGCACCCAGGAATTCCATGTGGTCTGACCCCGATGGCGGTCCACCCATGTCAATCCATGGCTTTCGTGTGCTAGGTGTCCATGCCCACCAGAGGAGCAGGTGCTGGGTGGTTGCCGTTCTGCAGATTATGACTATGGACTATGGCTATGGGGCGGGCAACTGTTGGGGGATGATTTTGAGACCTTGAGAATGAAATCCACAACTGCAATGCTTCAAGTTGGGCCAGTTGCGTTTTCGCATTTCTGCTCTCTTTCCGTAGGCTGAAGGTGACTTCATCACTTCACAAGGTGCGGGTCTTGTTGATCGGGACTGCCTCAACAAAAGACGCCGAGATCGATCGAACCTTGAATTTGAGGAAAAAGAAGATGATTCAACCTTCTGTCGGGTAAATGTCCCATAGATTCCAGGCACTTTCCAAGGAACAAACAATATAGTTTTAGTACTAGAACCCCGTTGTCCAAACCAACCGTTTGCTCAGTCGATCGTGGCGTGACGGTCCATTGGGAAGCTTTTGAGGCCGCTGTGGATCTTCGGGGGGCACAAGTGCAAATTTTGAGCAAGTGACCTCACTATTTGGGGAACAGCCCCTGATCCAGGATTTCACATGGGGTCGATGTTAAATCCAGGCTCGACATTCATTTTGCTTGTTTGGGGGAAGCGATTCTGGGTTGAATCATCCAATTCTGTAAAGCATCCACGCCAAAAAGACATTTGGGACATGCCAGTATGGTTAACTAGTCAGTTTAATAAGTCGTTTAAGTTCGTATTTTAGGCTTCATGCTATGAGACAAATTTGAAGGTCCCGTAGAGGCACCATTCTTCCCAGAGGTCATATTGGACCACCTTCAGCAAAGGCCCTTTTGGCGCTGCCCTGCGAACGCCCTGCGTTGCTGTCCTTGGGAGCTCAAGGCTGTTCTCAGGCGCGGGGTGACCCCTTGCGTTGCTGAAGCTTTGGAGGTCACCCCATCAACAAACATGGCTGGGAAATCCCACTGGCCTGGAGGTTAAATATGAGGTTGCGCTGAGAAATCATCGAAGTAAATGGCGGATTTTTCCATTGCCAGGAATTTGATTACCAAAGATACCATGCTGGGTATGTCAGATGACATGGCGGTTTCACATCTCTCTGGCCATGGCTCGATCTCCGAGTCGAGATTTGAAAAACCTTTGGATGATTTTCCAAGTCTTTGGAAAACTCATCCCATCCCATTCATATGAAATACTGCCATTTTAACCCCCTGGTATAGTATTGGACCCATGGATGTTGAGCACCCCATAGATTGGCGACTCAATATTGAGGGGATGAAATCCCCATCACTTTATGCAAACATATCCATAGTTGCCATAGTTGCCATCCTTGTTTTGAGAATGTAGTAGCTACATGTAGCTACCATTTCATTCCTGTCGGCTGCCATTTCTTGTGCATGGGCCATTTGTGGGTCAACGTCTTGACTGCCCTTCTAAGAAGTTTTGTTCCTTGCTCCGATGTGCAGAATGAGTATAGTCCATTATATCATAAATTATATCGCATAATCCGCATGATATTCTTGTGTCCCAGAAAATTTATGTACATACCAGCATATGCCATGATATTCCATTCCATAACATCCCATAATATCCCATTATATCCCATACCAGTGACATCCCCATCATATCCCCATTGTATCCATCAATTTGGAGCTCCCCATCACCAGCCATGGAGGGTGGAAAGTCCACTCTGCTCCGAGAGTTGTTGGGCTTGGACACGTCCACGGTGGAGGTGGGGGAAGCCATTTGGGATCAGCAGATGCCTGGGGTGTAATCATGTTATGTATAATATAATATAATATATAGGACATTATAGGACCAGCCAAAAAAGAGATAGACACGTCATGGATTGACGCTTTTGAAAAGTAAGATTTTTTTCTTTTCTTTTTTCTTTGTGGGTTGCTATACTACATACATACATGGGATATAAATGGTGTATATATATATACACGTATGTAGCCAGTGTATAAGACTAAAGACCAATCTTGAACCATGTTAGGGGAGCCATCTGTGCCATGGTCAAGACATGGGAAGAATGGGGCTCTGGTCATCCAAATAATGGAAGTCCCCTGCATGAACTGATAACCATCCCCCAAGAACATAGGAACTCACCAAATTTTGACTCCATTGACCATGGCATATGTGGGATAAATGCCTGCTATATACGCGAGATGTTGTCCCCGTATTTGTCCCAATCATTTCCAGGTTTCCAACTTATCTATCCTTTTTGGGTGTGCTATATATATAATTATATATATAATATAATATATATATAACTATATATAATTATATATATATACACAATCATATATACGTATGTGTGGATGATGTATAACCAGTATCTGGGCAAAATTTCCACCCCCAAGAAATTCGATGATTGATGGTTCCCGATGGCTCTCAGGTCTCCTAGGTCCTAGGTATCAGAATTTGGAACCACCAAACACACTAGCGCTGGGTTATCAACTGGTAATTTCCGACCAAACAAGACATGTGGGTGGTTGATCCAAGCACCACAAAAAGCAGAGTTTTTTTGGTCCAAGCTATCCCCCATTTGCAGCGAAGATTTTGTCGTTCGGTCACTGGAACTTTCCAGCAAGATGCGCCAAATGGTCAGGCGGAACCATCGCGACCACCCTGCAGGTGCTTTTGTTTTGGGAGCTGAGTTGTGCTGGAAACAGGTGGACATTATGGATGGAAGGATGGTGGAGCCATCGACATACCATGCGCAGTTTTTTCGAGAGATAGATAGAAGAGAGAGATGGGGGTTTCCTTAGTCATGGGGGTACCCCAATAGCTGAATGGTTTGGAATGGAAAATCCCATCTATAAATGGATGACTTGGGGGTACCATGACTGAACGGAACCCCCCAGATGAGTCATCCAAAAAGCCCAGGTCGCCAGCGCACAACCCTGGCGTGGACTTGCTCCAAAGCCATGCAGGAAGACTCAGAGGAATTCCACCATTCGTGTGGTAAAGCCAATCAGAAAGCTTCAATTTTGTTTGGTTTTCTACATGTTTATACTAGCCATTTCTGAGAGGTATGGTTTATGGTTTATGGATTTTATGGCAAGTTTACCAGCTTATGGATCCTTATGGATCCATTATAATCCCCATTAACTATAGTTACATCTACCATAAACCATAGTTAATCCTTATGGATCCATGGCTTTGAGTCTTTTGCGGCCCAGGCCCCTCTGGGTTGGACCGTCGATGTGCATGGCTGTTGCCTGGGAGATCCAACCTGGATGGTCGGAGACTGAGCAAGGGAAGGATGGCGAGGGAAGATCTACTGGACCTGGGCTTTCCCAAACATTAAAGGTTTGAAGGGTCTCAGTAAATGTTCCCTTCAACCAATCCAATAAATCTATCCTTCTTAGTTTTTCTTTGTAAAGCAAAGTATCCTTTTTGGTCCCAAAATCAGCCACAGCAATCTCGGGTTATCAAATTCGTTGCACACACGCATGGCGCCATTTGCGCAAAACGGTCGTTGATCACCACCGAACCAATCATTCCGATGGACGATTCAGAGAATTTCATCAGATGGACCATGAAAACTTCAGTGGAATAAACTTCAATGGCTTGGTGAAGCATTAATGATAGTTTAGTCAGATTCCCAGCGAAATCCAGATATATTCCAGTTGTATCCAGTTGGGAACCCAGGTTGATCCAAATCTGGTTGGTGACTCTTCCATCCAAAAAGTCTAATTGAGTCACCAGAAGAATCCATTGTCCCATGATGAGGATAATCCGCTGTATAATGGATCCATCCCCATGATCATCCCCTAAAAAGGTACCCATAATTTTATGGTCACATTTCCCAGCTGAAAACACTCATTGATGCATTTAGTTCAGGGATTTCCCGCATAAAACCATGTTTGATGACACCAGTGGGTATCTCATTCAATTCCCCATTCTTAACCATTATTGACCACTATTGGCCAATTGACCATTATTAACCATTAGAAAAACCATTCAATTCCCCATCTTTGGCCATCATGGTTCATATAATAATGATCAATATTATTGATCAATAATGGTTAATGATAAAAAATACGATCAATATCATGGATATTGACCATTAATTGACCATTATTGACCATTATTGACCATTAAAAAACCATGAGCAAACGATTAAAAAACGATTAATTGACCATTAAAAAAATATAAAAGCCATTAATTATGATTTCCTCATTAGTTTCTCCCCCCAAAGATCCCAGCGCATCTTCGTATAGGCCCTCGTCTCGACCTGGGCCGCCAGCAGCGCCTTAATTCTGCTGCACGTGTCGCTGGAGGATTTTGCGGTGCGGGAAGCCCAGCTGGGAAGGTGGTGCCCCCAGTCGATGGCTAAGGAAAACCTAGAGGAAACCATAGGAAAATGGGGATTGAATGGGATTTATAGCGGATTTATGATAGCTAAGTTGGTGAACATCACTCCAATTTCACTATGGTTTATAGGTGATATATCGAACTAGTATTCATGGGGTTTATAAAGCAACCACCTTGTGGGTTGTGGGAAGGGGAAGGGAGTTGGGGGAGGTTTTGGATATCATGGATAATTGATGGTTCATTGATGTGGTGAATACTGGCGAATCTGGTTGAAAAAATGGAGGGATTTGCCTGGTTAAAACACGTTGCCGGAATTGCGACCCCCAGATGATGTTTGCCTTATGATCAATGATTGTTCCAATATGTGTGTGTATATATATATATATAATGCACCCACACACACACACACATACATCCCCATTTCCCCATTTTGGGGTGGTATGTAGTCCCTAGTAGTTCAGTAGTTATAACCATCACATATCCGTTTTGGGGTTGCATTTAGGAGGCTATTGTTGGAAGAATGGAGTCGTTGGGGGTTGTGGTTGGGGGCCATGGCTGTCGGCTGCAGGTGCCGGACGAGGAGGCTCCCAAGCAAATGCCGTCTCCTGTCAACATGGGGCCGTGGTTGGGAAGGGGCCGGGTTGTAGAAAGCGTTAGACGGTCAGTGACGACCTGCCTTTTCCGCCATTTCTTGGGTGTTTTCAAACGATCCTCTCCTGAGGTCCAAAAAACCCATGGACAGCCATGCACGCTTAAGCGCATCGCGCAGAGTCAATGCCAGCGGTGGTTCTGCCTGGGACCTCAGAGTAGGGATCTGAAGGAAGCCTAGCTTCCCTAACTTGGGGAATATCAATATGGATATGGGGGGTTCCTAAGTCATGGGGGTACCCAATTATTTTCAGATCAAAAAAACCTTCCAGCTATTGGGGTACCACCATTCATGGAACCCCCACATATATGTGTATGTATATGTATGTATGTACATACATATGCACATAATTCTTGTTGGACACACATGGAATATCCCCAGTAAATGGCTTATAAAACACTTGTAACTGGCAACATGCTGGCTGCCAAGGTCACATCGACCTCTTCCACCGGGTCCGGGGATCTTGGTGTTTCACCCCATCGGAGAGGGAATCCCCAGCAGTCCGCCGGTGACATAGCCTGAGGCCTGCGAAGATCGCCGCCAAAGCCGAGCTGATGGCCTTGTGCCTCCGCAGAAATGCCATGGGGCCAGCCCTAAAGACAGTGATTTTTTTCCTATGGAAAATGAAACTTTTGGGATGTTTGGATGACTTTTGGGATGAATTTGGGTTCATTTTGAGATGATTTTGCCATGATTTAGGATGATTTTAGGATGAATTTGGGATGATTCACCATTTAGGGAACCCCCCGACGTAAAAGTCGCCAAGATTGGATTCACCTCTTAGGAACAACTGGCCCAGAAAGTCGGAGGGTTCTGCGAGTGGGCCAGGCTGAAGATCTTGACGGATGCGAAATTCACAGAGGTGCCATAATGGTCACCGGGAACTGTGAGTCCTGTAGCCAAATGCCAAATGGCGTGCTGGACTATCCCCCATTTTCTACGGGATTTCCCAGCTAGCCACATTGAATTACTGGAGGGTATCATAAATGATTCGTTCAAGGGAGGTGTCATTCTTTCTTTTCGACCATTTTGACTCCTACAAGCCTGAAGTATCACTGCAAGTGCGAGCTGCAAGCAGATGGTCGCTGCAACCGAACAGGTTCAACCCATTTGAGCGCTCATTTGGGTCCAAAAATTGTAATGGAGGATTCCTCAGATTTTTTATCATTCAACAAACAATAGTCCTAAAATCCTAAAATTTGATCATTGATGGGTAATTAATAGATGATAAACATATATAAACAGTTATAAACATGGTGATATTCCCTATGAAAAACCGGTGATTTTCCCGTTACATAAAACAAATCAGCAGAGAGATCCTATACAACCCGTGCCAGCGGTGAGGCAGGTCCTCAACGTCGCAGAATTCTGGTTTTGCTACGAGATGCCGCTCGAAGAATGGTGAATGGTCCTCCAGAGACATATTTGTATATATATTATATAATAAATCACATAATATATGTATATATATATATCTATAATATGTATATACATATATCTCATCATCATACGGGGTACTGGGATATATGATAATTACTAGACAATTACTGGTTGGTGGTTTGGAACATTTTTTTTCTCCATATATTGGGAATAATCATCCCAACTGACTTTCATATGTTTCAGAGGGGATATATGATAAATATGGTTTCACTAGGAGATGAATAGGTTGATTTTTGGGTTTCTCTGCAGGTGAATGGTGAAATACACATACATACATACATACATACATACATACATACATACATACATACATACATACATACATACAGACATACATACATACATACATACATACATACATACATACATACATACATACATACATACATTATACATTACATTACATTTACATTTACATTTACATTACATTTACATTTACATTTACATTGCATATCATTACATTACATTACATTACATTACCATACATTACATATCATTACATTACATTACATTAAATTACATTAAATTACATTACATTACCATACATTACCATACATTACCATACATTACCATACATTACCATACATACATACATTACATTACATTACATTGCATTGCATTGCATTACATTACATTACATTACATACATACATACATACATACATACATACATACATACATACATACAATATATGGATATACATAGTACGTACGTACGTACGTAGGTAATTACATCTATCTATTTATCTATTTATCTATTTATCTATTTGAAATTTATCTATTTATCTATTTATCTATCTATCCATCTATCTACCTAGCTATCTATCTATCTATGTATCTATCATTATCTATCTATCTATCTATCCATCCATCTGTCTATCTAAATAGGTATGTATATATATGTATATGTTTGTTTATTGATATATATATATATTTAAATTTATTTATTGATATACATTTGTATTTAATATATCAATCTGTCAATCTGGTGATTGCTTTACATCCCTTTTGAATTGGTTGTATGATGTTATATGCTTATGCAAGTATCATATCATCATATCCACAGCATATAGGTCAAATCCTCTATTGCCATTTCTTTAGATGAACATCCATATTTACCCTCTGCAATCCAACATAGCTGGAACATACCCCAGATGATTTCCTCATACAGAGAAAAATAGTTCGGGAGTTTCCACCTAGCCATGTTTGCTTGTTGGTTATACTTCTATCCCATGTAATCCAATGCAATCCCATATGATCCCATTATATTCCCCTTGCCATGTTTGATTTCACTGGAGGGCAATCTGCCCAATATTCCGTTGATAACTATCCCAGCAATATTCCACTAGATATACCCATAACATACCATTTTGCCGGCCAAATCCCACGCCAACCAATCAGCAAGGGTATTTTTTTGAGTGCAACGCTTAGTTACAGTATATCCCATCATTTCATATGACTTATATATGATATCATATTGTAGTGAGAATGAATGTTTGATTTTTACTTATATTGTTGGTGAGTTCTATCAGATGTAATCCCACGCCATCCCCATATCATATCATATCATATCATATCATATCATATATATATCATGATATGATCCCATTGTTTGCTTTCTAATGATTGATATACAAGTATAATGATTACTATAATGAGACGGATCAATATCATGAGGACGATGTAACTATCCCAGTGCCGTCCCTGAAAACCGGCCAGCAAGGTCACCAGCTCGAATTCCATCAGCAGCATCCAGGCCTATCTGGAGGCCGGGAAGGGCCGCACAGCAAAGATGGTGAGATCATGGGGATTTCATGGGAATTTCTTGGGAATTGCGGAGATCTTCTGGAAGTTTCGGGGAAGATCTAATGGATATGGGGATATATAGCCAACTGAAATCAACTGAATATGATTTTGGGTTTGACTGATGGTAGATTAAAGCCCTGAGGCACGGCCATTTCTTTCATGGGGGGAATGGTGATGAAACCATTTTTAGACAAATCCATATATCTGAAACATTCTAAAAATACAGGAGAGTGGATGAATAGGGAACTGGGTTCAAGATGATGGCATGGATCTCTTTGAAATGCTTGGATGGTTGCTTGGTTCAACAGACTGACCTTGAAACAGCACGAGGAACAAGAACACAAGTTCTATTGTCACAGCACATCAATGTGGAGAATCCAACAACCCCAAGTTTCAAAAGTTCCAAGAAGTCCCAAAGGTCAAATGAGGTGTAGTTCACGTGTATATACATATGTACACATGTATCATGAATATAAAAATACATTATATATAAATATACACATACATCTTGCAGTATATGTATATATATATATGTATGTATGTATGTATGTATGTAATGTATGTATGTATGTATGTATGTATGTATGTATGTATGTATGTATGTATGTATGTATGTATGTATGTATGTATGTATGTATGCATATATATGTATATGTATACTGTATATATATATCTCTATATTCACAGTATATGTATATACAATAGATGTCAAGACACCGGATGTAAGTGACCCTGGTCCCTGCTCTGGCCATGGCGACGGCGACACGACGAGTGAGCGATTTCACAAAAGATCTGGCGGACCTTGTGGACTCGCGATGCTCCACGGTGCAGGTCTTTGTCGAGGAGCAGAAGGTGGCACCACGTCAGGCGGGGAAAAAATCCATGGAGGAGTTCTGTGAATTTCGCTCTCTCCACATTTACATTACGTTTACATGATTAGATTAGATTAGATTATATTCTATTACATACATACATACATACCTACATACCTACCTACCTACATACCTACCTACCTACCTACCTACCTACATACATACATACATACCTACATAATACAGACAAACTACATAATATAATATGCACATCTGATTTTTTTCTGACATGTATGTATGCTGTCTCTCTCTCTCTATATATATACACATCATGGACATATATAGACATAATTTTGGGTGTGTGCGGCAGTGTGCCTCGGAAGGGGGGAGCCTTTCAGGAGCTGGCGAAATTTGTGTGGAGTACCTCCAGAAAGATTTATCACCACATCAATCCACACCATTCTCAACATGATGAGAGGCGGAAACGAGCATGGGAGGATGCAAAAGGAATGCTCAAGGAAGTCATTGATTTTGAGAAGTGGCATCCAAACGCCTTCTGCGATGAGTGTGTGAAGTCAGTGTTGGAACCAGAGGTTGCAGACGTCTTTAAGAACTACTTGCATTTCGTCCTCACAGGAGAAATCAAAACCCGACACACTCCACCGAAGCTTCTGGGCGAGACCGATCAGATGCTGGTGGTTGATAAGCCTCCAATGTTTACCTGCAACTATGGTGGTGGGGGTCAACTTCCCCCAACCCTGGGGTGCCAGTCCGCAACTCAATTGCTGAATGCGAAGGCAGCAGTCCTTCAGATTCACGAGTACCTGGCCTTGAAGTTTGACTACGAATGTGCGCAAGCAACCAGGGACTTTTGGGCAGATGTGAAGACAAATCAGATCACAAAGCAGCTGTGTGCATGTGGCAGATGCGAGAAGTGTGCCACCATGCAAGCCGGTTGTTGCAATCGACTGGACAAGGAGACCTCAGGCGGTTGAGAAACGTGCCATTTTTGGGATATTAATATGATATAAGTTCTAGATACTGTTTTTCAATGGCTGGTGCAAATCTCTTACCCCAGGTGTGAATGGGAGACCCTGCTAGGCGTGATGATCGCAGCCAAAACCTTTCAAGGCTTTCCTGAAATCCGCAAACAGTTCAGCAGCGATCACAGCTTAGAAGAAGGAGGGACGGAGAAGTACTACTTCGCTTTGGTTCGTGGTGAGGCAGGGGATGTAAAAATAATATATATTATATATATATACCAATGTATATATATATAGAGACATATCCAAATCAAGCAAGTTTTGAGATTCTGGAAAATCAACGAGCTTAGCTGTTCACACATGATTTAAATATATTTTAATCATTTCAAAGCATTTTTCCCTGTGGTCCCAGTGGAGATCTGCCAGGTGCAAGTGCCCACAGAAACGATCCAAAAGTCCTCGGACTGGATGGTGGGGCCCATGGCTGATGGTCGAGGTCGCATTCAGAGTTTTGGGCTTTGCTGAGAGGGGCCCCCATGGTATGGTGGGTCCATTGGTGGCCCAAAAAAATGATGCCCACATGGTGGATTTCTTTCACATTTTCCGGAGATCCACCAGTTAAATGGGGAATCGAGGGAATATGTGGGGTGAATCCATTGATTTGGGACGCTCCAAGGATCGCAATGTATTTCGACAAGAGGAAATGGAAAGCTATGCCGTGGAATGATGGGAGTGAGGCGAATGGAGAGGAAACGTCTGGGAATCGGAAAACGTATTTCAGAGGCGAAGAGGAAGAAGGATTTGAACCAGGAGAATCGGAAGGCCGCATGGATGCAACCACCTTCTATGAGCCCATCGCGTGGTTCACGGACAGATCCAAGAGTGATGGTAGTCACTACACCTTGCTACACTTGCAGATCATCACAGGTCGCACACATCAAATCAGGTTTCATTGTTCTCAAATAGGCCACTGCTTGGTTGGAGATTGTGCCTATGGTGCCCCCCAATCTGATCGCAGCTGGGCCAAGCGGATATGCCTGCATTCATATCAGACCAAATTCATGGAGCCCTTTTCGGCCAATTGGTCTCCTGGAGTTTGCTGCTGTTTCATTTTCCTCATTGGTTGACCTCCAAAATTAGATAAAATTAGGGAATCTTCAGAATCGAAAGTAAGATTTGGCATGTTGGATGTGCCCCGGATCAACCAAATCTAAGGTACGAAGCTGTGTCTCCTCTGCCCAAAGACCTTGGCGATCTGATGTCAGGTCTACTGTTGCAGCGGGTCCAGGAAAACTGCCCAGTCTTCCTATCAAGGAGAAAGCATCTGCCGCTGAAGAGCATCTTCAAGGTGAGCCTTCAATAAGGGGGGGGGTAATCACGGGTAATCCACCACAATCCCATGAGAACATCTCATTTTCCCCCAATTGGAGTGACTAGAGATAGTGGCTGCCATATAAATGAGGGGATAAATATGATAAATCCTGTTACGTTCCCATTTTCAGACAGCCCCGGAGGTCTATGATGCAAACAGCCAATTGCTTCAAAGTCATGAGGCGCCTCGCAATGCCGAAGCCATCTTGCAAGCCGCTCAGCAGAGGCAGATGGATCATGGCAATAGCAAGTGGTGGTCTGACCCGGGGAAGTGGACTCAGAAATCATGGAATGACCCATGGCCATGCGGCAAGGCTGTGTCCAGTTGGAGCAAAGGGGCCCAAGCTGGGAATGGTGACAATGGTAGCAATGGTGAGGAGGAGCAGTGCTGGGGCACCAAACCGAAAGCGCCAGTTCCAGAAGTTCCAGAAGTTCCAGAAACTCCAGACGCCAAAGAGCATAAAGAGTCCGAGCCCAAGAGGCGCAGAACAGATCAACCCAGCAATCCTCTGGTGACGAAGATCATCATTATCCCAGACACTCCTCCAGACGCCAGAAACGCTTCGCCTGCAACTCCACCAGACTTGGGTGCAAATCTCCCACCATCCCCGTGGAAAAGAGTCGAATCAACTCGCACGCCGGGAGTTTTTTACTATCGGAACATGAACACCATGCACACAGAGGTGGAACCACCTCATCCCTGGCAGAAGAAGCAGTCCAGACAAGATCCCAATTTCTGGTACTACTGGAATCCACAAACAAATACCAGTTCGGTGGAGAAGCCGATCCTGTGATGTGGAGATGGTGAGAGTCCATATCAATGACCATTGAATCGGCCGTCCAATTGATGTTTATGATTGTTGATGTGTTTTTTGCGAGTTGAGCTGATGCGAATGGGGTCCAAACAATTTGGCACACCCCAAATTGATGGCATTTCTTTTGAGGGAACATCGTTTTCCAACATATTGGATTTTAGGGGCTGCGCCAATTGTGGACAATCCCATCTATGCATCAAAATGCCTTAGCTAATAGCTGTGTGTGCCGACTATTCACGGCAAAAGGAGCTCTACACTCCAGATTTATACCTGGTGTGGATTTCGGTGCATTGAGCTGTTTCGCAACACTAGATGTGTGGCAACAAGCAACATCGCTGCCGCATTTTTTTGAATGGAACTGTGAACAATGTACCTTGATGGCAGCACGAATCAGCATTTTTTCAGACTCAGAAGGGATTCTTCAGTCTCAGAGTTTGATTCTAGCTTTGGTGGGTGAATAAAAACACTGCCCTCCAGAAAACTAGCATAGATATGGAACATCCACCATGTGTGGATCATTTTCTAGGAAACCAATGTATGCGCATAGCTATGTTAGTTCCCTGGAGGGTATATATATATACTTTGTTTGGTTGTCAGCTACTCATCTTGACATTCAGTGCCTTGCCGAAGTTCAGAATGCACCATGGTCCCATGGCCCTGTGTGGGCGGCCCGGATTTTTCGTCAACATTTAGACAGACGTCATGGTCTGAGCAGCTGTCACAATTATCACTATCACCAGATTGTGGTTGACACCACGACGATGATGGAATGTTGCATTTTTTGGCATGCACCTTGCGTTTTGAAGTTATGTTTCTGAGGCTTTGCGCGCGAAACTCGTTGTTGCGAGTGTAATTTTGACAGTTGCTCTTCGGAATTGGTGCATCTGTATCACATAAATAGCGGGCACAGCCCCGAGACAGACAGATGCACGTGCCGAGGCACACATGCAAACAAACGCATCGTCACATCGACATGCAGGGTCGAAGTCAATTACCTACACATTCGATGCACAAACATGTTCACATACAACCACACGTATAGCCATATAGCCATATTTTTATACACATACATACAAAGATACATCATGTGGACAAGCCAATAGTGAACATCAACCATTTGGATCATTTGGGGAGGGTTTCTAATTACCGGTACAACCCATCAAAATGGTGGTGACTTGATCTCTACGAGGCCATGGGTGGACTCTCCGTGGTTCCCTTGGAGTCCTTGCAGAGCCTGGTCGGAGCCCCGCGCCAGCGAACCTTGTGGGGGCGGCCCAGTCGCCAGATGTGTGGTTTCCTACAAAAATTTCGGGATCCCCAAAATGGATGGTTTATAACGGAACATCCATTTATAAATGGATGATTTGGGGGTACCCCCATGACTTTGGAAACCCCCACATATGGATGGATAAGGGCATTATAGCATACTGGGCTATTTGTTGGTTGATATGATTTTTCCTGTTAAGTCATGGGGACTTTCTCAAGTCATGGAGGATCCCCAAGTCACCAAGTTGCATGACTAGGCGCCGGCTTCGAGAGAAACTCCAGCAAGAGATGTACCTGCTGGGTGAGGTGCTGTCGACCTGCAGGGTCAACTGCTGCTGTACTTGTGATCGTTGCAATTTGACCCCTCTATATGGAGGTTTTAGTGGGCAAATCATCTATACATGGTGGATTTTCCATTGCCATGTTTAATTGCCGGATGGTACATACAATTATAGCGTAAGAATGATTTTGACGTTTACAGCTTGATGATACAGGTCATGTCCAACCGTTTCTTTTGAAATTCCTGCAGCTGTTTTCCCACAACTTTTGCAGAGGGACTCCACAATGTAAGTCTTCAAGGAAACTACATCAAAAGGCTTTAAGTGCAAGCCATGACGCGTGACAACACAACTATCTTCAAGGAGATTTGGAGAGCACCACAGAAGCAAAACACATCTGTTTTTTTTCCCCATGCAACAGTTGAAGACCTTCCAAGTATTGGCAGCTAAGACAAACAAAAGGACTTCCGCTGAGGCTCCACAAAAGGAATGGACTATAACTATGATGACTATGCCACCATTTACCCATTCTTGTTGGCCATTTATTTGCATCACATTCCCTTCATATTCCCATTATATTCCCATTTGAATGTCTAGGACAGAAACAAAGACAGCACAGTAGCTGCCTCGGACCTTCCGATGACGCCGTGATGGAAGACGTTGGTGCCATTGTGGTGCACGAGGACAGGCTTCCGGTAGGAGCAGTTTGATCTTTTGCGGGATGGGATGGTGTGGAATTGCCGTCACAGAATGGACATGGCATAAATAGTGATCATTTATGGTAAACAACGGGAGGGCATGGGAGGGTTTTAGATCTGAAGGTCTTCGCTGTTTTCTGGGGGACATTCTGCCTGAGGTTGACTCTCTGCAGCATCCTCCAGCATGATTTTCACCTCTTTTTCCCCACATTGACGTGTGGGGTTTTTGTTTTTAGTTCTGTATCCGCTCCTCCTCGTCCTCCTTCCCGTCCTCCCTCCTCACACACACACACACACACACACACACTCACTCACTCACTCACTCACTCTCACTCACTCACTCACACTCACTCACTCTCACTCACTCACACTCACTCACTCACACACACACACACTCACTCACTCACACTCACTCACACTCACTCACTCACACACACACACTCACTCACTCACACTCACTCACTCACTCACACACACACACACCCTCACACACACACACACACTCACTCACTCTCACTCACTCACTCACACTCACTCACTCACACACACACACACACACCCTCCTCACTCACTCACTCACTCTCACTCACTCACTCTCACTCACTCACTCACTCACACTCACTCACACACACACACACTCACTCACTCTCACTCACTCACTCACTCCATCACTCACTCACTCACTCACTCACTCACTCACTCCCTCACTCACTCACTCACTCACTCACTCACTCACTCACTCACTCTCTCACTCACTCAGGCGTGGGACAATGTGCACTGCCAAGGGGTCGGATGTACGCCCTGGCGTCCCTTGGTCTCCGCCTCTTTTGCGTGGCAGGCGTGGGACAATGTGAGCAGCCAAGGGGTCGGATGTACGCCCTGGCGTCTCTTGGTTTCTGCCTCGTTTGCGTGGCAGGCGTGGGACAATGTGCACCGCCAAGGGGTCGGATGTACGCCCTGGCGTCCCTTGGTCTCCGCCTCTTTTGCGTGGCAGGCGTGGGACAATGTGCACTGCCAAGGGGTCGGATGTACGCCCTGGCGTCCCTTGGTCTCCGCCTCTTTTGCGTGGCAGGCGTGGGACAATGTGAGCAGCCAAGGGGTCAAATGTACGCCCTGGCGTCCCTTGGTCTCCGCCTCGTTTGCGTGGCAGGCATGGGACAATATGCACCGCCAAGGGGTCGGATGTACGCCCTGGCGTCCCTTGTTCTCCGCTTCGTTTGCGTGGCAGGCGTGGGACAATGTGAGCCGCCAAGGGGTCGGATGTACGCCCTGGCGTCCCTTGGTCTCCGCCTCTTTTGCGTGGCAGGCGTGGGACAATGTGTTGATTGGTAGCAGCCAAGGGGGTCGGATGTACGCCCTGGCGTCCCTGGTCTCCGCCTCGTTTGTGTGGCCGGCGTGGGCACAATGTGCACTGCCAAGGGTCCGGTATGTACGCCCTGGCTTCCCTTGGTCTCCGCCTCTTTTGCGTGGCAGGCGTGGGACCATGTGCACTGCCAAGGGTTCGGATGTACGCCCTGGCGTCCCTTGGGTCTCCGCCGCTTTTGCGTGGCAGGCGTGCGACAATGTGCACTGCCAAGGGGTCGGATGTACGCCCTGGCGTCCCTTGGGTCTCCGCCTCTTTTGCGTGGCAGGCGTGGCACAATGTGCACTGCCAAGGGGTCGGATGTACGCCCTGGCGGCCCTTGGGTCTCCGCCTCTTTTGCGTGGCAGGCGTGGCACAATGTGCACTGCCAAGGGGTCGGATGTACGCCCTGGCGTCCCTTGGGTCTCCGCCTCTTTTGCGTGGCAGGCGTGGCACAATGTGCACCGCCAAGGTGTCGGATGTACGCCCTGGCGTCCCTTGGGTCTCCGCCTCTTTTGCGTGGCAGGCGTGGGACAATGTGCACTGCCAAGGGGTCGGATGTACGCCCTGGCGTCCCTTGGGCTCCGCCTCTTTTGCGTGGCAGGCGTGGGACAATGTGCACTGCCAAGGGGTCGGATGTACGCCCTGGCGTCCATTGGGCTCCGCCTCTTTTGCGTGGCAGGCGTGGGACATATGTTGAGCAGCCAAGGGGTCGGATTAACGCCCTGGCGTCCCTTGGTCTCCGCCTCTTTTGCGTTGCAGCGGGGAATCACCAATGTGAGCAGCCAAGGGGTCGGATGTACGCCCTGGCGTCCCTTGGTCTCCGCCTCGTTTGCGTGGCAGGCGTGGGACAATGTGCACCGCCAAGGGGTTGGATGTACGCCCTGGCGTCCCTTGGTCTCCGCCTCTTCTCACTCACTCACTCACTCACTCACTCACTCACGCACGCACGCACGCACGCACGCACGCACGCACGCTCACTCACTCACTCACTCTCACTCACTTACTCACTCACTCACTAACTCACTCACTCACTAACTCACTCACTCACTAACTCACTCACTCACTCACTAACTCACTCACTCACTAACTCACTCACTCACTTCACTTCACTTCACTTCACTTCATTTCATTTCACTTCACTCACTCACTCCCTCACTCACTCACTCCCTCACTCACTCACATACATCATCATCATCATCATCATCATCATCATCATCATCACCATCACCATCACCATCATCATCATCATCATCATCATGTGCCAGCGATGTTTACCAGCCACAGGGCATGCAGAAAGAGATCACAAAATGTGCGGCTGCGCTCGAAAGAGTGCAGAACATTACTTTGGTCAGCGGAAGTATGGTGAGCACACCATCGTTTTGATAGTGTGTCGGGAAAAAACATCAGAGCCTGGTGGAACTCGATGAAAGCGAAGCAACTTACTCACAAACAACTTACCCTACGTACATACATACATAGATACCTAAATACATACATACCTACCTACCTACCTACCTACCTACCTACATACATACCACCATCGTCCCTCCATCACTCTTATCCTTCCTCTTCCCTTCTCGCTTTCTGTGCTCCGTCTAAGTCTGTTTCTTCACTGAGGTCGATGCCTTCGTCCGTACCAAACGGTTCGGCTTCGGTCGAGCCGACACCACGTTGGCCGGTGGTGGGGACGTTAATGGGAGGCTTCACACTCACTCACACTCACTCACACTCACTCACACTCACTCACATTCACTCACACTCACTCACACTCACTCACACTCACTCACATTCACTCACATTCACTCACTCACTCACTCACCTACCTCACCTACCTCACCTACCTCACCTACCTCACCTACCTCACCTACCTGACCTACCTCACCAACCTCACCTACCTCACCTACCTCACCTACCTCACCACCTACCTCACCTACCTCACCTACCTCACCTACCGCACTCACTCATTCACCCACTCACTCACTTCACTTCACTTCACTTCACTTCACTTCACTTCACTTCACTTCACTCACTTCACTCACTTCACTCACTTCACTCACTTCACTCACTTCACTCACTTCACTCACTTCACTCACTTCACTCACTTCACTCACTTCACTCACTCTCACATCCCTCACTCACACACACCACACTCACATCACTCACTCACACTCTCACTCACTCACTGTACATGAACATACATACATACACACAAACTCACCCACCATCACCGCTCCATCACTCTTATACTTCCTCTTCCCTTCTTGCTCTTCTATGGTCAGTCTAAGTCTAAAGAAGTTGGTAACATGTGGGGTTATCCTGTCCTTTAATTTTGGACTCCCGCACCATAGCATGACGCATAGATTGCATGGTTGTTTCATACTGGAAGACAACCCTCCAGTGCTGGTTTACCTGGCACTGGAAGACACATCATTTTGACATCTTTTGGGGAAAACGGACAAATCATTCACGGATTTTCCGACTTTCTGATTTCCAATGTTTTTTCCCATGTTTTTTCCGATTTCCCCTGGTTTTTCCATGGTTTTCCTGTGGCGGGTTTTCCCATGGATTTCCCGCAGGATGCCCTGGATGCGGTGTGCCAAGCGGCAGGGCGCTCCATCGATCAACTCATCTGGCAGGCGCCCCACGACGTGGCCCGGGCCGTGACCCTCTTTGGCGCTGGGGTGGTGGTGCTGCCGCTGCTGGGGCACCTTGGAACTGCGAATGTATACACGTGTATTATTTTATGTATATATATTTCCCCCCCGTGACTTAGGACTAGTAAAAGATACCCTGGGGTGGCCAAGTCCTATGTCATCATGCGTCGGACCCCCCTGGACAAGTCCTAGGTCATCAGGTGTCCGCATGAGATTAGGAACTATGTTTGATTCTTTTAGTGCGGCATGGAACACTCGTAAAACCATGATGACATAGGACTTGACTAGCAGAAATATATTAAGATGATCCTAAGTCATCACGCTCTGTGATTTTCATTTTTCCTTTGATTTATATACAGTAAAAAAATAGATATATTTTTTGTGTTTTTCATTTTTTCATTTTTGACATATTTTTGGAATATTTTTTATATTTATTCTTTCTGTTTATATATTTCTGTTTAACGTATTATGTATTGTGATGTGATGTACTGTACTGTACTGTAATGTACTGTAAGTATGTAGGTTCTGATGACTTAGGACTTGTGCCCCTTTGGTGACATACGATTTTGTGCACTAAGTCCTAAACCCTATGCATGTATGTAATGTAATGCACTGTAATGTACTGTACTGTAATGTACTGTAGTGTAATGTAATGTACTGTTCTTTACTGTAATGTAATGTACTGTAGTGTAATCTACTGTACTGCACTGTAATGCAATGTAAGTATGTAGGTTCTGATGACTTAGGACTTGTGCCGAGAAGATTTTTTATTTTTTTTAAACCGAAAAAGTGCTTGAGTCCAATCACAACCCCAGTGACTTAGGACTTGGTGCACACAAATCACCTGGTAAGAGCACCAGTGACTTAGGACTTGTTGCACTAACTCCTATGTCACCAGGATGGCCTAAGTCCTAAGTCACGGGCTGGTATTATATATATATAATTACACATATTATATTTGTTTTCTATGATTTGTATAAGTGCATAACTCTGTATATCTCTGTATATGTATTAGTTGCTGGTTTCATTTTGGGCTCTTTCGAAGCAAGAACTGTTTTTCTTTGACCAGAATAGGGCGAAAACATGATCATTTTTTGGGAGCATCATTGCACTCAAGGAGAGTGTCGGGCATCGATGGCAAAGAAAGTTTGGAGTATTCCTCCCATCCACAACGCGCCTCCGGCGGATTGATGGATCGGTTGGACCTGGAGCTCAAGTTGCTTGGCGGGTGGCTGGAAACGAGCGTTCGGCAGACTTGCAAACCTCCGAAAACTGGGTTCCCAACAAGGTGAAAGCTGCGGTGATGTGCATGATTGGATCAGAATTCAAATTGACATTTTCCATAGTCACAGGCCAGGTGTTTGTTTCCTCATCAGTTGCATGATGGTTGCAAAATCTGACACAAAACTGGACATCTTGCCCCAAAAACCAGGGCCTAGAAAAAACAAATCCCGGTTAGCGGGTTCAAATATTTCGAAAAAAGAACGGTGTTTATGATATCTTTTCATATTCCGGGTTGGTATTCCGGGTTGACACTAGATCTTTCCCCAAAAACCAAGTGGATGGATGGTAGGGTGGAACCCAGCACCTTTTTTGGGCGAACTCCCAGGTTTGGTTCGTTGGATCCGCATCGGCTCATCAGTGAGCTCACTGGGACGAAAGAAGCCCTGGAGAAACGGCTGCAAAGCCTGGGGAACGACGAACTGCAAGAGGAGACGACCTGGGGGATGGAGTGATGACAGGGATTTTTTCCATGTTTTTTGAAACGGAAAACATGGGAACCCGGATTTTATGGACTTTTGTAAAACCAAAACAGATGAGAAAGTAGAATCCGAAGCTCAAACAGGTGGTAATGGACTTTATTGTCGGGGATTATTGTATGTATCTATGTGATTCTATGTGTATATTGTAAAATACATATTTTTTCTCAGCATGATATACCCACTTTTTCCATGGATTTGATGAGGATTGTGGGTTTTTCACATGGGTTGAAGATGGCTTGAACATCCGCCGCCGGTGGTTGATGGGGTCGAGGTTGGGAAGCTTGGGATGCTATGGACGGAGCCATGATGGTTCCTTGTGGAGCTAGGAATTTTGTGCTTAACTTGGCTTGTTTTCTTACTTTAACTCAACAGAACGGACAAGACGGAGCATTTTTGAAAAACTCCAGCAGTGCAGTGGGATCTAAACTTTGTCAACTTCGCTATTTCCAGGCAGTTTCCAGCTTCCGGCTTACGTGAATGCAGTTGGCGCCGTCCAACCTTGAGAATTACTATCATCCAAAAAGTTTTCCCCCAGATTTCCCATGTAAACTGTGCTAAAAATCATGGTATCTTCAGTATCTTCCATGGTATCTCGACCAGGAGGTCTTGGCGCTCCAAGATTGGCGAGAAAAAGCCATGGGTCGCCTGAAGACCTTGGAGAAACGGGCTGCTTGGGCCTTCCTGGGCGTGGCCGGTGAAGGTGTGGCCAGCCAGGCGAGCGGCTCATGGGGGGATGGGATGAGAAAATCACCAGTTACTGTGTGGATTGGATCGTTCCCTCGTCAAGTGGCAGTGTGTCGAAACCTTGTACCCCTGTAGTTCACATCAAAATAGCTGGTAAATGGATGTTCATCCCCCTAAAAATGGTATTAATAGGTATTGATCCATACCCAAGTAAATATCAAATAGATAAATGAAGAAAAGAAAATACATGATCATAAATGATCGTTTAAAGACAATCGCAGTAGATGCAGAGACGAAACAACGATACATAGTTATATAATGTTATATAGCAGAATAACATGTGCATTCCTTGAGTCCCATCAAATGCAGACCGCCTTGGGAGGCGGAAATTAAGAAGGCCTTCAAACGCAGGGCCTTGGAGTTGCACCCCGATAAAGGTGGTGATGCGGATCGCTTCCGGTTGCTGCAGGAGGGGTTTGAACTGGGAGGTGGTTGATATGGGGAGGGTAGGCTTTTCTTTTCTTTTTTGGTGCAGGGGATAAAAGTTTTATGTGTTTTGGACTGGCCAACTGAAGAAAAACAGTCGATATTTGTGAGTTCGAGGTGTTGTTTTTGTGCACCAGCAACCATCAAACCTGGTACAGAGGCCTGGTGATTTCATGATACTTCCTGTCGCGTGCTTGGCAATACAGGGTTGCAGCCAGGATGCATCTTTCTTGTTACGCATCGGAATCGGTTGACATTCTTGCCAGAAACGGATGGTTCAATATGGTTTGATACCACCCTCCAGTAATCAAACATGGCAATGGAAGAGCCTTCATTTATAAATTATATTTTCCTATTAAAACATATTAAAACACGTGATTTTTTTCAAGGATTTTAAAGCTGGTAAGCATTCAAAAAGCCAGGGTGAGTCCGTTGGTGCCTCCTGGCTGCAGGAGATGAGAGATCTGTTAGTAGAACCCAAGTCTCATGACTTGGAAGGTCCCAAGGAGCGTTGCGTGGGTCACACAGAAGTCTGTTCCCCTTGAGAAAATCGAACCCTAAGATCTGGAGTTTTTTTGGGGTCCCTGATATTTTAGTGCTGCCTCTTTTTGCGATTTTGCATTTTGCGTTTTGGGGTTGAAGAGTATCCCAACTGGGAGCATCACCATAACCCTGGCACAGGACGCAAAAAAAGCTGAAGAGAAGGGGGAGAAAAAGGAGACTGAAGGACAGGGTTTCAGGTTGGTGAGCGATCCATATAGTAGAAATCAGCTGGCCAAAATGTTTGGTCCCAAAATGACTACCATAAAATGGTGGTTTCTTGGTGTTTAGGGTCCCCTTGAACCCCTGAAGGAGAAGATGATGCGGAGGAGGAGGAGGACTTTTCGGATGATAGCTGGGACGCGGATGAGGAGTTCCGGAAGATGTTTCCCAAGCGGAAGAGCCTTGGCAGATTATCTAAAGCCTGGAAAAACATGTAGAAAATCACAGAGAAATAGATTCCAGCACGGTAGGTGTTCTCTGAAAATGGGTTGTTTATCACCCCAAATAGATAAACTAGCCATTTTAATGAGGAAGCTTATGATAGCTCATTGGATTTTGGAGATACCATATTTTTACTTGGAAACAGCATTGCAGTGGTGATGGAAACAGGACTGGGATGGAACTAAGGAAGAAGCCCAAGCGTCAAGATGATCAGGAAGCGGAGGAACTGAAGAATCAGGATGGGTTTGAAACGACCGAACCAATCGCGACAGGATTCTGGAATGATGGGAGTCCCACGGAATTGTAGGGGGTACAGTAACTATCCCTATGGCTGAACTTTTATCGGAAGTATTGCACTTCATCCAGCTGAGGGTTCAACAGCGCTACTAGCCGCTAGCCTGGTCCAGCACACCTAAACACTACACTCAAAACCATCCAACCGACAGGCAAGGCTTGGGGATGGATATCCTATCAAGCCTATTGGTTGGGTTCTGGCCCAACCCACAGTGGGTAGCGTCAGGGTAATAGATCTACTATTGGCTTGCTGGTAAAGCCACAATTTCTTCATTCTTGAGCCTATTGGATCATCATTTTCCCCACTCAATTTGCCAGAAGTTGAGGCTAAATCCAATTTTTCTACATTTCACTATCAATTCTGGTTCCAAAGAAATCCATGTCAATCCCATCTTTTTAAAGCCAGAAATCCATGGCTCTCCACCGGCACCCCGCCGGCCAGGACTTTCACCGCGGGAAGTTCGAAGCGGCGCGGCGGAAGTTGCACCGCCAGCTGCGAGACGCCTGGAGCCGTGCCAGTCGCCTCACGGAGGAAATCCACAGGACCAGCGGAGGTTTTTCCCCTCAGCGAGATGATGTGTCCACACTGAGGGGTTCTTAAGGTAGTAAAGGTCGGTGCTTGATCAGGGTGCTCACTCTGGTCAAGATTTTACCTGTAAATTTCCGTAGAAAAGTGGCTCTTGTGAAATCTTGGCATGCGTTTCGACTGCACAGGCTCGAACAAAGTCTGCAGCATTTTACCTGTAAATTTCCGTAGAAAGTGGCTCTTGTGAAATCTTGGCATGCGTTTCGACTGCACAGGCTCGAACAAAGTCTGCGGCATTTTACCTGTAAATGTCCGCATAAAGTGGCTCTTGTGAAATCTTGGCATGCGTTTCGACTGCACAGGCTCGAACAAAGTCTGCGGCATTTTACCTGTAAATGTCCGCATAAAGTGGCTCTTGTGACATCTTGACATGCGTTTCGACTGCGCAGGCTCTCACAAAGTGTGTGTCCTCGTTCTGGGCCCAATCTGGGCCGCGACATTTTTCAACATCAACATCATCATTGTCGTCGTCGTCATCATCATCATCATCGTCATCATCATCACCGTCATCATCATCATCATCGTCATTGTTGTCATCATCATCATCATCATCCTCATCCTCATCCTCATCCTCATCCTCATCCTCATCCTCATCCTCATCCTCATCCTCATCATCCTCACCATCCTCACCATCCTCACCATCATCATCATCATCATCATCCTCATCCTCCTCCTCCTCCTCATCATCATCATCATCATTCATCCCCCTCACCATCGTCATCTTCCTCATTCTCTGCATCATCATTCTCCACCTTTTCATCCTCCACTTCATCTTCCGCATTCTCATCCTCATCCTCATCCTCATCTTTCATCATCATCATCATCATCATCACCATCCTCACCATCATCATCATCCTCCTCATCATCTTCTTCTTCATCATCAACACCATCATCCTCATCGTCATCATTATCGTCATCATCATCATTATCATCATCGCCACCATCATCATCCTCAACATCCTCAACATTATCCGACAATATCCTCCCATTCCATCCCGCACTGTTTGGGGTCTCTTGCCGGGCCTTGCCGGGATATTTTTTTTTCCGGGATAGTGTGAAACCCAATGTGGAAAACCCTAGCAAATACCCCCTGGTAAACTCACACAGCTATGGAAAATCTCCATTTCAATGGGAAAATCGACAAACTAACTGGCATTGGGTTTACCACCTTATGGATAATGGGTGTGTAAAACAATGCCATAAACCACCCATGACTGGGAATGATTTTTGGCGGATGATTTTTTATTGTTTTTCCCACATTAGTGATGATTCACTGACCATCCATTAAACAACTACAGCCGCTTTTGGGATTATTTTGGGATTGAACAACCAATAATGAAACATGTCAAAATCATGTCTGTACATGACAGGAGCCACACCTCCGCGGCCAGTGCCGACGCCCTGCGACAGCTGCGGAAGTTCGTGGATCGCTTTGCGGTGACCGAGCTGCAACGGTTGAAGGAGAACGACCCCAAGAAGGCGCGCAACGTGGGGAAAACGGGGGAACACATAGGGGTATATACCTTCATCATCCTTCATCAGTTTATATATATATAAATAGTATATACATTTAGTTATGTGATGTTTTGTGCATATAAATAAAACGTATCACATACATCTTACAATATGTAATGTATATGTATATATCATATATATATATATTTTCTTTTTTTGAAACTGTTTTCTAAGGCCATGGCCAAGGAGGTGGGAGGGCTGCCGATAGTAGGGAATGGGGGAATGGGATGATTGTTAATAGTTATGGATTGGATCATTTCCAATTGCCTATTCGGAATGAGTAAGTTTTTGCATGGACGGGGGTCTAACCACCCATGAATTCCGTATTGGGAAGAGGATGAGAAGTGGTCAAAGGCCCAGCAATAGTTTCGATAATTTTTAGTTTTTTTTTGTATGATACTCAGTTGTGCACGAAAGGACTTGAACCATTTGCATTCGTTCTCGGTTGTGCAAACTATTGTGGCGACATCTCTCATTCTTTTTGGGGACACTGATTCTTGTTGGAACTTTCTCCAACTCATCCGTGTTCAATTCCACCTGAATGACTTAATCTGGGACCTGCAAAAAATGCACTTATCTATGAGAAACACAGAAGAATCTTCCAGCCGCATTTTAACTGTTTTCCTCATTCAGTTGTTCATGACAACATTCCAACTTGTTGATGGTTGATTCACAGCTATTGAATTGTCAAATCACTATTCTTGATTCTCAAAACCCAATCTGCCATGGTTAAAATCAGTGAGAACTCGTCAAACATCAGTTAATACGCACATTTTTCACAGTTGAAAGCCGAGAAACACCCACATTTTCCCTAGTCAAGACTAAAATAAAACATGTTCCCGACGTCAAACTATAGCAAAACCCAATTTTTCATAGTGAAAACAGCTAAAAACCGCCATTTTCCACACGTTTTCCACGCGTTTTCCACATGTTTCGGTCCCCCAAAAGGTGCCAAAACGTCCCAGGCCTTGCGTCTGCTACGTCGCTTCCTGGAGCAGGGCTCCGAAGTGCTCTGCGCCGCCGGGGCGTTGGATCCCACCGCAACGGTCTCGGTGGTGGCCATGCAGGCCTTGGAACCATAAGATTTTTGGGTGGTTTTAAGGGAGCAAACACCTGGAACGTGGGGAACATATGGGTTTTACCAGGTTTTGACGAAATTTGGGTTTTCAAGCATGGATTTTGTGGAAATTTGGGTTGTAAGTATGGATTTGTGTGGCTTTAAGTATGCAAACATGGTGATTTAAGATTACTTCATGTTTCATCAGCATGATCATTGTGGAAACGTGTAAAACATAGGGAAAATCGAACAGTTTTACCAATGGTGATTTGGGTTTGAGGAATTTTGCCTGGGATATTTTGACGATTATATAATTGGATTTTAGCCGTGAAAATTGCGGCTTTGAATAACCAATGCAATTATTTTTCCTGGTGATGAATTGCCATTTACTCGTCATTTAATCTTAGTCATGTTTAACAATGGAGACATGATGAAACATGATGATCTAACATGACTTCATGATTGGAAAAATGTGGTTTTGAACATCAAAAATAATGATTTAACACTCCGAAAATGGTGATTCAACCAGCAACAAGCTGGGATTTTAACCATGAACCAATGGGGGATTTCAGCATAAAGTTACGACCTAGCATGGTTTAAACGTGAGAAACATTCGTTATTTAATCGCGACAAATTGATTTAGCTAGTGCTTGCCTAGTTTTGAGCATCACCAGTTAAAATGTTACGACATGTCCATGATAAACTCGGGTTTTAACCACAAAAAAGTTTCGATTTATGGGTTATGTAAGTGATATAATCCCCCACAAGTTGTAATATCATCCCTTAAACCATCAATTTACCAAGTTATGTATACGCTATGTTTTTATATATACCCCATGGCAATCCCCCATCTCCCCCCAAACCATGGGGAAAATCAACCCATGAACCGTCACAGGTGAACTGCCCGCTGCTCCAAGCGGTGCCCGAGAACGAGGAGCTGCAGCGACGCTGCGCCGCCTTGCTGGAAGCCATCAAGGAGTTGCCGGTGATGGGTGAGCAGGTTGGGGTGATGGGATGGGATGGGGAGAATTTTTTTCCCCATTTTTTTGGGGGATATATTGGATATTTTATGGCGATTACTCATGGGATATGTAAAACTGATATAACTTAGAATGTATGATTTATGGGATTACTTTCTCCATTTTATGGGATATATACTTGATATAATGATCAGATATGTGTACAGTGTAGACTATGTCACATGTAGCATATATGTTTGTATATGTGCTGCAGCCATTTTAGTGCTTTCAGCTACCTTCGAGCTGACTGAGTAAAAGGTGCTGATCAGTGCTCAGGAGTGTTCATCAGATTTAAGAGCCCAAATTCTCTGTTCATGGTAGCGGAGCTGAGGTTCTGATACCCAGCTGTGAATGTGTAGGTGTCAACGCCGAGCTGCATCAGCTCTGGCGCGCCTACCCAGTGCCAACTGGAAAAGGTTGACACTCAAGCTCCTGAAAATCAGGAAACTCCAAAGGTACTTCCATAACCTGGGAGTGCATCTCCAACAGTATCCAAGGGTTCTCTTGAACCAGGTCTCTAAGCACCTGAAGAACGACTAAGGATGGCTCAGCAACAGCAGCCACCTCAGCAACCAGGCACTCCACCAGCACCAGCACAAGGACAGACCAACGGTCCCAACATGTCCCAGATGGTTATGCAGATGATGGCCCAATTGACTCAGGGTCACAGCTACAGATCAACAGAAATGTTGAGAGGTCTGTTGAGTACAAAGACAGATCAGAGTTGAAAGGCATACCCAAACCTGATAAGTTCACTGGAGCATCAGGCACTTGGGATAGTTGGTGGTACAAGTTTAAGACATGGGTTGAAAGTTGCCACAAGAATGCTGTGAAGATTGTGGCACAAGTTGAATCTCAGTGTGACAAAGAGATCACTGAGTCAAGTCTAGAAGTAGACTTTGATGAAGGCGCCGAGCTAGTTTCAGCTCAGGCTAGACAAGCCCTCATATCATTGACTGAGGGAGAAGCGTTGGAAATTGTCAAGAACACATCTCGTGGTAGCCACTTTGGCCTAGAAGCCATGAGACGACTGTTGTGCAAATATGATCCTCAAAATCCTCAAGCCAATTCAGCCTTGTTGAAAAAGATTCTGCATCCAAGTCAATGCAGTCTTGATAAGCTTCGAGAAGGGCTTGAGAGTTGGGAGAACTTGAAAAGAAAGTATGAAGACAGGAGGAAGAAACCACTTGAAGATGACATCTGCAGGAGTTGCTTGCAGCAGATGTGTCCCAACAAGTTGCAAGATCATTTGGACTTGCAGGCTTCGAGATTGACCACGTATGACCAGGTGAAAGCTGAAGTTTTGGCCTACCTTGAGAACGTCGAGACCAGGAAAGAAGCAAAGTCAGGAGCCGTTCCCATGGATGTGGATTCCCTTGCTAAGGGTAAGGGAAAAGGAAAACAAGACAAAGGGAAAGGCAAAGGTAAGTCCAAAGGTAAAGACAAAGGAAAGAGTCAGTCTTCGTCTTGGTCAAACAATTCATACCACAAGGGTTCTTGGAACAATCAGTCTTGGAATCAGCAGTCTTGGTATAAACAAAATACCAATGACTCCAAGAGCAAAGGGAAAGGCAAGAAAGGTCAAGACAAAGGTAAAGGTAAAGGTGATCAAGGCAAAGGTCGTAAAGTTGCTAATGTTGAGTCTGACACTTGGGCTCAAGAGCAACAACCTGCAGCATCATCTGGTGATCAACCTGAACCAGAGATCACTGCGCTGTTTGCCTTGGAAGACACTATGCCACCCAAGTCTGAAGCTCGAGCTATGCCACCCAAGTCTGAAGCTCGAGATGAATCTTCTCGTCGTGGTCGAAGCCCAAGACGAGCAAACCTTCAAGCACCTTCAAGGAGCAGGAGCGCTATCGTCATGGCTCAGAGCGCTTTGGCATCAGCTTCTGGGTCTAACAAGGAGCTGTTTGGCAAGATGATTGCTCAGGCTGAGAGCGCTGTCAAAGAAGCTCAGGACAAAGGGCGTCAAGCAAATCAAGCTCTTAAGGAACGCCAAGAAGCCCTGGACAAGTTGAAGAAAGAGGCAGCCCAGCATCACAAAGAGGCCAAAGAGGCAATGGCCAAAGTGAGGGCAGAAGGCCGTGCTGCTTCAGCACCGGCTGCACCCTCTCGTCGGATGCAAGCCGACCTTGATGCTGGAGTACATCCAAGAGCTGCCAAGAAGAAGGAGAAGGACAGGCAGAGAGCTGCCAGTCATCGAGCAGCCACTGCTGGACAAAGAGCATCCAGCTTCAAGCGCTATGAGTTGGCCACCTTTGGACAGGCCAACCCTGACAAGTGGGACAAGGATGACATGGGAGATCTTCCTGAACCTCCCAAAGCAAGAAAGCTGGAACCTAAGCGCCACAGAGGAGGACGTCATTGGTCTGACAGACGTAGAGCAGATGAAGCAAGGAAGAAGGCCAATAAGGAGAAGATGAAAGAGATGAGCAAGGATGAGATCCCACAATGGATCCATGACAAGTGTGAGATTTCCTCTGAGGAGAGCATTTCCTCTGAAGGATATGAGTTTGTCAGCAGACTTGAAAAGCTGAAAACCGATCCTGAAGTCCTCAGCAAGTTGGACAACGTCTTGAAGGAAGCCTACGAGAAAGCCTATGGTGAAGTTCTTGACCTAGGATCTTCTGATAAGACAGATCCAGACGATTTGCCCTACAACCAGGAGCCAGCACCAGGCATGGAGGATGTGGTCGAGCATTGGCAGAATTCCTTTCGAAGACCCATTCCATTCAAGGAGTTGCATGAGAAGTGCAAAACTGTCTCCAACAAAGGGTATCCCTATGTGAAGTGCCAGTCATGTGGAAAGGCACTCAACTCCATGAGCGTTGCAAGCTTTTGGCAACATGTGGAGAACAAGCAATGCTATCCTCAGTATGCCCTGGAGTTTTGGAAGAAAGAACATCGTCAGGTAAAGGCAGAGAGAGAGGCACGAGAAGAAGGAGAATCATCCCAGAAGCGCCCCATGGATGATGCGGAAGCCAAAGATGAGAAGAGGCGCCAAGAGATTGCCAAGGATGAAGAAAGGAAGAAGCGCAAGCAAAGCTTTGAGGAGCACTACGAGCGCCTCAGGCACAAGGGCAAAGATGAAGTGAAGCCCGAGGTGAAGAAGATCCCCAAGAGGCCAGGGGAGAAAGAGAAGGTCGAGGAGGAAGAGAAAGAAGAAAAGAAAGAAGAAGAAGAGGCACCCAGAGCACGCATCGAGCTGAAGTCCAAATCCCCATCGAGAGCGCCTGAGGACAGCCGGGCTGATTCAGCCCAGGCGTCCAAGGGCAGGGGAAAGTTCAGCATGGGCACCAAGAGATTCCTGGAGAAGACGGTGCGTGATGCAGCTAACTACATGGAAAGAAAAGCCAGGAAGAAGAGGGAGAAAACGCCATCTCCCAAGCCCAGGAAGCATTCACCAAGAGGAGGAGTTCGATCTGATTCCAACCTCGACTTCCTGGGAAGTTTGGCATCTCAGGTGGATACCATTGTCTGGGCCACCGTTGACTCAGGGGCAGCAACCAGTTGCCTACCCAAGGAATTGGCGCAGTCATTGGAGTTGGCTATGACACCTGTGGATGAGAAGCCGTTCACCAACGCATCAGGGCAGCCAGTCCAGGTGCATGGGGTGTGCAACCCTATAGTGACCATGGGTGAGAAAGGAGGCCCACAAGTCAAAGGTGTGGGACAGTTCCGGGCAATGGATGTTGCAAAGCCATTGCTGTCTGTGTCCAAGCTGGTTGAGAAAGGCTGGACAGTAACCTTCGGCCCCAATGGATCGTTTCTGCAAAGGGGAGCCAAGAAGGTTCCAGTCACCATGACTGGAGGTGTTTTCAAGATAGCCATGGATTTTCATGGGCAGCCCACAGAAGGGTTGAAGGCGTAAGTCCTGTGGAGACCACAGAGAGCGCAGGTAGTGGAGATGATGAACCGGGCAGTAGTAAGCTAGGTTCTCAAGCGCTACCAACTGCAGCAGCGCCGACGCAGAGAGAAAAAGAAGAGCATTTTGTCAGCCATTATCCTTTTAGGAGTTGGTGTGAACATTGCATTCGAGGTAAGGCAAAGGCAATGAGACATGTCAAAGTAGATCATTCAGATGAAACAGTTCCTGTGATCTCAGCTGACTATTGTTTCATGAATTCAGTGGATGACACTGTCATCACAGAAGAAGTGCAGAAAAAGCATGCACCAGTTTTGATAGTACATGATCGATGGTCCAAGTTGACCTACGCACACGTTTTGCCATACAAGGGAGTTACCCAAGGTCCTATTGGATCTAAGTGTCTTTTGAATGACCTTAAGAAGTTTGGGTACCCCAAGATGGTCATGAGGTATGACCCAGAGCCTGCACTCAACTCCGTAGTTGAGGCAGCCAAGAATGGTTTTGACAAACAGTTGGTTTTGGAAAAAGTTCCCAAAGGAGTCTCAGAATCCAAAGGGGAAATTGAAAGAGCAGTTCAAGCTATTGAATCTCAATCCAGGACACTCAGAAGTGCCTTGGAGACAAGCTATGGAAGAAAGGTGCCAGACGACCACCCAGTTTTGACATGGTTGGTTGAACATGCTAGCACCACTTACAATTTGTTTCACAGATCATTGGAAGTCAAAGATGGGAAGACACCGTACTCTAGACACCGTGGTCGTGAGTGGAGAGTGTCATTACCACCATTTGGGGAAACAATTGAATTCCTCAAAAGAGGTCACAAGTTTGAACAAAGATGGCACCAAGGAGTTTTCTTGGGAGTCAAAGACAATACCACTGAGAAGATAGTGGGAAATGCATCAGGTGTTTTCACTGTGCAAAGCATTCGACGCAAGAGTGCTGACGACAGATATGATGCCGAAACTTTGATGTCAGTCACTGGGGTTCCCTGGGATCCTCAAGCATCAAAAAGAGATGATGTTTTGCTTCCTCAGATTGTTGGGGGAGATCAGCAGCCACTGGCGCCATCAGTGCCAGTTGAGCCACCAAAGAAGTCGACAAGACGACTTTACATCACCAAACGTGATTTGGACAAGTATGGCTACACCGCTGGTTGTGTCGCCTGTGATGCCACTAGAATTGGCAAAAGAGGCACTGGAGTTCATCACACTCCAGCCTGCAGAGAAAGGATGGAACGTCTGCTTCAAGCAGAAGAGGGCAACCTGAGAGTAGCCCAACATACGGCCAAGGTTGATTCTGAAATCACTGGTCAGAAACAAGAAGTGTCCGAAGAAGGCACAAAGATTCTTTATGGGTATTCAAGTGAGAAACCACAAGAAGTTCCTCACGGTTTTAAGGTGTTTGCGCGCCTTGACAAGAATGCAAGGTATCTCAAGGGTACTATGCCAGAAGGTCCCAGTTGGGATAATGTCTGGTGGAGAGTCACCAGAGATTTCAAAAACAGGAAACATTATCAAGTCTGAACCAATGGATCCTAGTTTAGGAGATGAAGTCATCAACGCGCCTTTGATTGATGACGCAGATATCGTCACTGAACTGTGGTACTCAGCCACAGGGGAATCTGCTCCAAGTTTGCCAACAGCTGGACCTGCTATCGCGAGGCAGAGTCCTGCTACCGGACAAGCTGCAGATCCACCTGCAGAAAGCGCAAGCGCAAGCACAGCCTCAGCCAAGAGGGCAGGAGGCGAGCAAGAAGAAAGAGCACACAAAAGGTTGGAAATGTCTCCAACCAAAGGTCGGAAAAGACCTGCAGACTCAGGAGGCGAAACGTCAAAGTCCAAGGACAGCCGAGCTGCTTCAGCTCAGGCGTCTAAGGGCACCAAACGGCCACCTGAGAATGAGAGACCAGAAGACATGGATGACATAGACCAATGTCTTATGAACCTGATCATGGAAGATCGGGAGAAGTACCTTCAGTCCATTGAAGGTGAAGAAGAGCCAGTTTGTGAAGAGACAATTCCTCTTCCACCAGAACTGGAAGATGAAGCAGCCACATGGTATTATTACGATGATATCAGTGGAAAGATTTTAGACAGCAAAGGTGTAGAACAAGCCAGAAAAGATGAGGTCGAAATCATCGAAAGTTTTCCAGTTTGGGAAAAGATTCCCAGACACAAGATGCCCAAAGGGGTACGCACCATTGGAACACGATGGGTAGATGTCAACAAGCAGGATGAAGAGAATCCACTTTATAGAAGTAGGTTAGTAGCTCAAGAAGTCAAGAAGGGCTCAGGTTTTGATGAGTTCTTCGCAGCTATGCCCAGTTTGTCGGCTTTGAAGATGCTAGTTACAATAGCCGTCACGTTTCAGTTGCCAGACGCTGGAAAAGCTGTCAAGGAAGCCTATCGCAAGCGTAGACTTCTAGGATTTTTGGATGTGAAACGCGCCCACTTTTACTCAGATGCGACGCGTGAGATCTATGTGGAACTTCCTGCAGAAGCAAAGAAGCCTGGAGAAGATGTGGTAGGAAGATTGCTCAAGTCTTTGTATGGAACCAGAGACGCACCTCTCAACTGGGAGTTGCAAATACAGAAGGTTATGTTAGCCTTAGGTTTCAAGCAAGGAAAAAGCAATCCATGCATTTACTACCATGCAGGCCGAGACCTCAGAACTGTTGTACATGGAGATGATTTTACAACAGCCGGAACATTTGACAACATCAAATGGCTTCATGAAGAGCTGTCGAAGAAGTGGAAATGTGTGGAACGTGGTATTTTAGGACCACCAGGAACACCAAACACCATCCAGGACATCAGAGTCCTGAACAGAATTATCACATGGAAGGAGAATGGAATTTGGTGGGAACCAGATGCACGTCATGCAGAGTTGGTGATTGATTTACTAAGAGATGGTCCCCGAGGAGCCAAAGTCAAGACACCACTTGCCAAGGGTTCAGTGGAAGACCTCAAGAACGCCACTGTTTTTCTCAATGATGAAGAAGCAACCCAGTACAGATCAGTTGCAATGCGAGCAGCTTATTTGGCACAAGATCGACCAGATCTGCAAGTAGCGACAAGATCTTTAGCACAAGGGCTACAACGACCAACTACCAGCCACATGCTTATGCTCAAACGAGTTGCACGATACCTAAGGTATCGACCACGCATGGCACAATTCTTTCCTCATCAGAGCAAACTCAGTCCATTTGTGATGTGGTCTGATGCTGACCACGCTGGTTGCGTGAAGACGAGGAAGAGCGTGTCAGGAGGCGTCCTGATGGCCGGAGGTTGTTGTATCAAGACTTACTCTAAAGGACAAGGAGTAGTCAGTCTTTCGTCTGGAGAGAGTGAGTATTACGCTCTTGTGAGCGGTGCCAGCAATTTGCTGGGAGAAGTTTCAACCGCCAAAGACTGGGGTTTGCAACCCGAGAGTGAAGTTTTCATGGACGCAAGTGCAGGAATAGCAATGGGTTCTCGCAGAGGACTAGGCAAGGCCAAGCACGTGGATACTCAATACCATTGGGTACAAGACCGCGTTGCCAAGCGCTATTTTCGGCTGAAGAAGGTCGACACTGGCGATATGCTTGCCGACGTCTTGACGAAACCTGTCATAGAAGAGAAAATGAATAAAGCCTTGCGAAATATGAATTTTCACTTTCTGGAAGGTGAGCATCACCTGACACTGAGAGCATAGATGGCTTGAGCGTGGCTATGAGTAGCTGTACATATCAAAACTCGCCTAGTTCAAATAATTGGACGGGAGCGCCGTTTTTAAACAGGCTCGGGAGGCGTGATCAGATATGTGTACAGTGTAGACTATGTCACATGTAGCATATATGTTTGTATATGTGCTGCAGCCATTTTAGTGCTTTCAGCTACCTTCGAGCTGACTGAGTAAAAGGTGCTGATCAGTGCTCAGGAGTGTTCATCAGATTTAAGAGCCCAAATTCTCTGTTCATATAAGCATCAAATATATATCATGAGATATAAACATCAAACACCTGGGATTTTATGGGTGGTTTCATGGATGTTCACCCCTCAAAGATGGTCGTGTTTGGATACCTCCTACCATCCGGGAGCAGATATTGTTGGAAGTTGTAACTGGGTTCATGGGTTGTTTAGGGGATCATTTATCATCTATTTCTGGATGGGCGATAGAACCAATATGCACCAATGATTTTTCAATCTTTGGTCAGAGATAGGATTGTGAGTATTCAATGGGGATATCATAGGAATTGAAATTCAAGGCATTTTTCACAATCCTTCGCTGACCCACAGATGCACCCCTCGCGGTCGCGATTGTATAGTGGTCACTGTTTCCTTACACATAATCATTTCCCCCATTCGATTATGGTTATACATAATTACCACTCTCTCTCTGTATTTATATTCATATGTATATAGTTACAATTATGTTAAATATACGTGCATCTGCATTACATACATACATGCATGCATGCATGTATCCATACATAAAATACATTACATTGCATTGCATTGCATTGCATGACATTAGATCACATTGCATTACATTACATTGCATTGGATTGCATTGCATTACATTACATTGCATTGCATTGCATTACATTACATTGCATTGGATTGCATTGCATTACATTGCATTGCATTGCATTACAATACATTGCATTGCATTGCATTACATTACATTGCATTGCATTACATTACATTGCATGGCATTACATTACATTGCATTACATTGCATTACATTGCATTGCATTACATTACATTGCATTGCATTGCGTTACATTGCATTGCATTGCATTGCATTACATTGCATTGCATTGCATTGCGTTGCATTACACTACATTGCATTACATTGCATTGCATTACATTACATTGCATTGCATTGCATCACATTGCATTACATTGCATTGCATTACATTACATTACATTGCATTACATTACATCGCATCGCATTGCATTACATTACATTAAATTGCATTACATTACATTACATTGCATTGCATTACATTACATTGCATTGCATTACATTACATTACATTGCATTACATTACTTTACATTACATTACATTGCATTACATTACTTTACATATATACATATTCATATAACATGCATTCACTATGATCTTTTCTCCAATCCCAGGTGAGTTCCATCCACACGGACGAGGGTCTCTTCTTCGAGCTGCTGATCCCGGTGCCGGCGTCGCCCGACGCGCTGCCGGGCGTGCGCCGGGTGCCGCTGCAGCTGCCGGCGGACGCCACGCTGGGGGCGTTGCGGAAGGCGGCGCTACGCTGTGGAGGTCACCCGGGTCACTGGGGTCACCCGGGCGTCACCGGGGATGGAAAGATGGGGGAAAACTGCGGGAAGATGGGGATAGAACCAAGAAGATGTGGAGAGATTAGGTGGATGTTTTTGATGAATCCATTTTTCTATATTTTTCTAGTGTTCTTTGTGGGGTGAATGTGGGTGTGAGTTTTGCTTAGCCATTGATATTTTCGATGCAGTATTTGGAGAATGAGATAGAGACTTTCTGACTAAGATCAACATTTTTTGTAAAGACCGAGCAACAGCGGGTATGATATGATGGGAATATCAACCAATATGGAGACAGGAACCAACCATAAAGGCAGATAAGACTTTATATCATCATCAAGGGAGGGAAACAACTGTTGGCTGGTGGCTGGTGACCTTAGAATGCTGAAGATACTAGTTGTTGCTGGCGCCGTGGCACGCGGCCTGTGTGTGAAAGCGATTTGTTGTTTTTTTTGGCTTTTTTTGTCCTTGTTGGGGTGGGGTGGGGTGGGGTGGGGTAATAACGTTCATGTACGCTTGCTGAGCGACGTCATGCTACGTTGAGGTAGCGCTCTTGCACGCTTGCACATCTACGCTGTGCTACGTTGTTGTAGCGTTCTTTAGCGTTCTTGCACGCTTGCACATCTACGCTGTGCTACGTTGTTGTAGCGTTCTTGCCCGCTTGCGGAACTACGCTGTGCTACGTTGATGTAGTGTTCTTTAGCGTTCTTGCACGCTTGCACATCTACGCTGTGCTACGTTGTTGTAGCGTTCTTTAGCATTCTTGCACGCTTGCACATCTACTCTGTGCTACGTTGATGTAACGTTCTTGCGCTCTTGCACAGCTACGCTGTGCTACGTTGTTGTAGCGTTCTTTAGCGTTCTTGCGCTCTTGCACAGCTACGCTGTGCTACGTTGATGTAACGTTCTTGCCCGCTTGCGGAACTAGCTGTGCTACGTTGATGTAGTGTTCTTTAGCGTTCTTGCACGCTTGCAAATCTACGCTGTGCTACGTTGGTGTAACGTTCTTGCTAGACATGTATGTTAATGTAGTCTGCCCGGTTACGATAGGACCATTATCTTTATCTTGAACATCCTCATATTCGTTTATCTAGAATTCCCTTGCAAACGATGACGACGACGACGACGATGATGATGATGATGCTGATGATGATGATGATGACGATGATGATGATGATGATGATAAGATAAGATAAGATAAGATAAGATAATGCTGATCATGCCTGCGGCCCACAGGCCGCTGGCCACGGCGTGACCTAGTTGTTGTCCATCAAATTTCAAAGTTGACCAATCTTTTGTACTCAAGCACCAATCGGCATGAGACGGGCACATTCAATCTGGCCTCCAGATCAATCTGACCTGGCACTGGCCACTGCCCAGGCGAGCAGTTTGGTGGGGCCTGCCCCAGGATCTTTTCCAACGGCCGCTTTCTGGCCGGGAGTGATCGCATACCCTTGACCAACCTTGAGTTGGGAGATGGACCCCTGCAGTGTTTGCCCAGCAATTTGACCTTAAGAAACAAAAGGTCGGTGCCAAAGAGTGACGAACGAGTGCCTTGGCAGGTGGTCATGGCTGGAATTTGGCAGGATACGACAAAATACGGACATAAGGTCATGGGATGTTGTAGGTTTGGATCCCCTCCCACAATCCATGGCAATCGAGAATCCCCCCAACGTTTCCCATCATTTTCCATTGCCAAGGTCTGTTCACTGCAGGGTATTTCTACAAAGATTCGGAATGCAGAATAAACATCTATAGAACTTCATCGAAATCTGTAGAACTCGAGTTTTATATACATGTCCCCATCATTTTCCCATCATTTTCCCATCGTTTTTCCACCATTTTTCTTCATTTCTTCGGCGTTTCCCAAGTCTTCCCCGCACCACCCAGGCGCCTCCCCGTGCACCCACCACCCCGGTGCCGCCGGAGATCGTGGAGCTGCCCGAGGCACCCGAGGCACCGCGCAAGGAGGCGCCCAAGACGGCAGAAGTCAAGGAGATGGTGGAGGACTGGCGGAGCGGATCAAAGATGATATAGGGATTTGAATTGTGATGTAAGAAATATATGGTGATGTTAATATATGGTGATATGTATTATATATATATACATGTATATATATATATTATATTGATTAAACAACCTGTGTTGCTTGATGATTAGTTTGAGGTTATACTTATACTACCCGTGATATATTGGGAATTGTCCTATTCCATGAAATGAACATCCTGTGCTTAGCCAACCTAGTGGAATACCAAGATGATTTGAGCGTGTCTGAAACTGGCGGTAAACAAGTGGATGGTATGGGGGTTTTCCCTAAATCTTCAGACAAACCCAAATGCAGCGGGTTTCATGGGTTTTCTATTTTGATCACATGTAGATCCTTCTCACAGTCACTGGATGAATGATCCACATCAGCAATATCAAATCGCTAGATGATCGCAGGCATTTCCAGCTGGCTTTTGGAACGGAGAGGAGAACAAGGAGAACGACGACCAGTGGTTCAACGACTTCTTTGCTGAACCCGAGGAGAAACAGCGTGAGGAACGGAAAGCGGCGCAGGAGCAGGGCAGGAACGCTATGCAAGCTCGGTTGAAGGCTCAGAAGCAAGCCTTGGAGGCGCCGTTGAATGGCAGTTAATGATGGTGCCTGTACCCTCTGGTAAACATACAAAAAACATCAAGAATCTATGGAAAATCACCCTCTTCAATAGGTAAATCAACTATAAATGGGCCATTTTCAATAGCTATCTTGAATTACCAGAGGGTCTTTTTTGATGGTATGGTAATCCAGTGGTGAAATGACGAAAGAACGCGAAGCCGCCGATTTTCAAAGGTTTTGGAGCTGTTGAGATGTGATGTCAAACGAGGTCCATGTGTCTCTGAGATGTTTGGGCCCACTGAAATCTCTCCAAACTGGGGACTTTGATGAGTTTCTTTCCTGAAGCCCTGGAGCCCTGGTGCTGGCCAGATATCTAACATGGCATGCATCTCGTTGCCCAGGCGAAGAAAAAGTTGGAACAGGAGCGAAAAAAGGCGGCAGAGAAGAAGGATGTTGCATCGAAGCAGCCGCAAGAGAAGAGATGCTTGCCGTCTGAGGGTCTGAGGGGTCTGATTTTGTTTGAATTGCCTTATTGGCCCGGTAGCTTTCGCAGTTACTGTACTTGCTTCCTTTGGCCAACTGCCGGTCTAAACAACCCCACATATATAAATGGCACATGGCGAATTGAATTGGCTCATTGCCAAACACTGAGGGTCCGCTACCAAACACTTAGTTGGCCAAATGGGTGTATCCATTTTTTTTGGACCCAGGCTCAGAATCCACTGAATCCACTGGTGAAGCAGGGATATACCTATCTGGCGGCACAACATGGCAAAACCACATATCATACTGTTGGTTAAATTGAGATACCCCAGTATATCAACCATTGTGTTTTACACCCCTTGTGTTTGGTTTATTTTGATTTTCTACCATCATTTTTGTTGCCAAGATCTCCTCCATGACCCACTCAGGACCCGCAGCTCCCGAGACGTTTCAACCACCATCACGCCCTACATCTGTGACGCCGACGAAGCCTGATGCCCTGGTGCTGGCGAAGCTCGGTCAAAACCAAGCTGAAAAGCCCACCTAAAATGGTGGGCAACCCAGCATGTTCTCACCAGGAAATCATCAATCATGGTGATGATATTGTAATGGAGGTTTTAAGATGTTTTAACCATCAATAAATCATGATTCATGGAGCTTTTAACGATCCCGAACCTGGAGATTCAAAAAAAAATCTGCTAGATCTGATTTTCCTCGCCAAATTTGTGCCTTTTGCTCGGGGTTTTTAGACGTTTTTTTTGTTGGAGGAAAGACGAGCCATGCACCAAACTTCAGAAAAGCAGAGATGCCTGGGATGCGGCTTGGAACCATCCGTGTGCTGGAGCCACTGGGCCTCAGAATTGGACTCGGAAATCTGTGGGATCTGGCAACGCCCACAAAAAAAAAGGTGGAAAAGGAGCCGTGATCCGTCACGAAAATGGTAGTAATATGTATATAGATAACATGATTTTTACAACTTTCTTTTCCACTTTTTCCCGAATGCGTAGCAAGGGTTCCCGTTTCACTCTGGGGGTCTGGGGGTTGAGGGTGTGTTCGCTCGACGTTGCCGAACCGTCCGCAACCGTTCGCAACCGTTCGCAACCGTTCGCAACCGTCCGCAACCGTCCGCGGTAGGTCCATATGGCCGTGCCTATGGGAAGTTCTGCAGAGGTGGTCATTTTTGGAGTTTTCAGACGTGTCGTTGCTTCGTTTCGCGTGGCAGGCGTGGCACTTCGTGACATTCAGACGTGTTCTGCAACGTGGCGAAAGTCGTTTGGCGTGGCAGGCGCAATACTTTTGTGACGTTTTCAGAAGATATGTTGCAGTTTTCGTGGCAGGCGCAGCACTTTGGACGTGTCCATCGTCATTTTTCGTGGCAGGCGCAGCACTTTAGACGTGTCCTGTTGTGTGTTTTTTGTAAATCGCATTGGCAGGGCTGCGTCAAGTGGCGACAAGGTGCAAATTCCGTGGCAGGCGTGGCATTTTCTGACATGTGCTGAAAATTGACGAAGCCTCGCACGAAACATCGATTTTGAGGTTGCAAATTTTCAGGTTCTAAGGAAAACTCGTAGGAAAACGTCGATTTTGACGCTACAAAGTGTGAAAATTGGAGGAAGTCTCGTACGAAATGCTCGTTTTGGTGCTCCCACCTGTCTTGTCTCGCGTCTCTGGTTTTCCCGTGGCCTCGCCGTGTCTATGGGGGAAGCTGCAAAAATTGTCTTTTTGTCATGATACCAACTCTGAAAATTGCCGGAAGTCTCGTACGAAATGCTCGTTTTGGTGCTTCCACGTGTCTCGTCTCGAGTCTCTGGTTTTCCTGTGGTTTCGCCGTGTCTATGTGGGAAGCCGCAAAACCTCTCTCCTTTTCGAAGGTTTCCACGCAGGTTGTCATGTCGTTTTGCGTGGCAGGCGTGGCACTTTGTGACATTCCAACCTGTTTAATAACATGTCGAACATGTAAAAATTGGAGGAAGTCTCGTACAAAATGCTGATTTTTCTGTATCCACATATCTTGTCTCGAGTCTCTGGTTTTCCTGTGTCGTCGCCGTGTCTATGGGGCAAGCTGCAAAACATCTCTTTTTGAAGGTTTCCAAGCAGGTTGTCGTGTCGTTTTGCGTGGCAGGCGTGGCACTTCGTGACATTCCAACCTGTTTGCTAACGTGTCGAAAATGTCAAAATTGGAGGAAGTCTCGCCCGAAATGCTCGTTTTTCCTGCACCCACGTGTCTCGTCTCGAGTCTCTGGTTTTCCTGTGGCGTCGCCGTGTCTATGGGGGAAGCTCCGCACTCCACACTCTACATTTTACACTCCACACTCCACAATTTACAATATAGACTCCACACTTTACACTTTGCACTTTACACTCCTGACTCCTCACTCGAGACTTTACACTCCACACTCCACACTTTACACTCCACACTCCTCACTCTACACTTTGCACTCTACACTTTACACTCTACACTTTACACTCTACACTTTACACTCTACACTCCACACTTGACATTTTACACTCCAGACTTTACACTTTACACTCCTCACTCCACACTTTACACTCCACACTTTACACTCCACACTCCTCACTCTACACTTTACACTCTACACTTTACACTCTACACTTTACACTCTACACTTTACACTCTACACTCCACACTTGACATTTTACACTCCAGACTTTACACTTTACACTCCTCACTCCACACTTTACACTCCACACTCCTCACTTTACACCCCACACTCCTCACTTTACACTCCACACTCCACACTTCTCACTTTACACTCCGCACTCCACACTCAACACTTTCCACTCCACACTCCACACTCCACACTTTACACTCCGCATTCCCCACTCCACAATTTACACATTATACTCCTGACTCCTGACTCCACACTCCACACTCTACACTCCACACTCCACACTTTACACTCCACACTCCACACTCTACACTTTACACTCTACACTCTACACTCTACACTCCACACTTTACAGCTTAAATTCCACACTTTACACTTTACACTCCTCACTCCTCACTCCACACTCCACACTTTACACTCCACACTCCACACTCTACACTTTACACTCTACACTTTACACTCTACACTCCACACTTTACACTTTACACACTCCACACGCCACACTCCACACTTTACACTCCACACTCCACACTCCTCACTTTACACTCCACACTCCACACTCTACACTTTACACTCCGCACTCCACACTCCACACTTTACACTTTACACTCCGCACTCCTCACTTTACACTCCACACTCTCTACACTTTCCACCCCACACTCCGCACTCTACACTTTACACTCCACACTCCACACTCCTCACTTTACACTCCACACTCCACACTCTACACTTTCCACCCCACACTCCACACTCTACACTTTACACTCCACACTCCGCACTTTACACTCCACACTCTACACTTTACACTTTACACTCCAAACTCTACACTTTACACTCTACGGCGCTTTACACTCTACACTCCACACCCTGCACTCTACAATTTACAAAATCCACACTCCTCACTCTACACTTTACACTCCACACTCCACACTCCTCACTTTACACTCCACACTCTACACTTTCCACTTTCCACTCCACACTCCACACTTTACACTCCACACTCCACACTCTACACTTTACACTTTCCACCCACACTCCACACTCTACACTTTACACTCCACACTTTACACTCCAAACTCTACACTTTACACTCCACACTCTACACTCCACACTCCACACTGCAGACTGGTAACAGGGGAAATATGTACAAGCCTGTTCAACTAAACTATTGCAGAAAAGTGTTCTGCGTGATTGCAAATCCATGTGTTTTGACATCTGTACCATTAACATACGTGTTAGCATTCGGGTTCGTGGGCTGCATCTTGTTTTTTAAAGACATCTTTTTCTGGATGACTTTGCGGGTCGCTATGGGATGGGAAAGTTATCCCATCCAAGGCCAAACGCAGTGACGGCACGGCGATCTTCTGCGGTCCATGCGACTGTTGGATCACCGTGAGCCGATTCGACCACCACGACTTTGAGATCCACTGCCACTGGGTGAAGAATTTGAGTTCTTGAGAATAGAATTGAGTTATAATAAATATATAAATATATAATGTATATGTTCCTACGGCCACGGGGATAAGGGTGAACCATACCTGTCTTTGCCTGCAGTTTCGGCTTCAGCTGATGGGAGAGCCGCCTCTCCGGTGTCTGACGTGCCAAGGAAAATTTGGGCGGGCAGTAGCGGAATTGAGGTGCAACGTGTGTGTCGCCCTCTTCCGACTGCATTGCCTCCTGGTGTCGGACGAGTTCCCAGCTGAGCACATTCAGCTGGTCTATCCCGAGGTAAGGGGTGCCTACCTCCGGGCCTTGGAGGTGTGTGACGTCCAAAGGCGGGCGGATCAGGGTGGTGCAGCACCGCCGAGGGCAGAGGATAAATCCCTGCCAGCTAGGGAGGGACAGACCCTCCTTCTGAGCTCGAAAGCTCAGCCGCCTCTGCCTCCTGGGGGCGTTGCACCTACAACCAAGGACAGAAAGAAGAAGCGTTCAGACAAGGACAAGGCCAAGGCCAAGAGAGAAAGGAGCCGAAGCAGACGGCGGAAGAAGAAGTCACCTAGCCCTGAGAAGAGAAAGCGTCGATCCAAAACACCGGAAAGCCAGGAGGAGTGGTTTGAAGAAGAAGGCGAGGAAGAGGAGTTAGTTGAGGACGACCCGATACCACCAGACGACAGAAGAGGCAGGAGTCCAAGGAGATCTACGGATTTTCGGGAGGAGCTACCTAGACGGGGCTCTCCGGAACGGTCAGTGAGAAGGCCGAGAAGTCCGCCAGGACCCCCGCCTATTAGGCGTGAGGAGCAGTCAGATTGGATTGGACCAGTCCCTGCTTATCGTCGTAGGCAAGAGGAGAGGCCACCCATTGAAAGGAGGATTCCAACAAAGAAGAAGAAGAAGAAAAGCAAAGGAGTGAAGAAAAAGAGACAACAGAAGAGGTTCAAGCGCAACAGAAGACGTATTGCTGCCAAGAGGCAGCATTAATGCCACCCAAGGCAGCGTTGAGGAGACCAGCTGGCGCTGGTCCAATTGGCCGCAGGGCCGTCAGAAGAGGAGCTGGTGCGAAGGCACTTGCCAGAGCAAAGGCTGGTGTGAGGAGGCCCGCAAGTGCTGCGGAGGAGACACCGGGAGTCGAAGGAGACTCCGAGATTTTTCAACGCGGAGAGGCAGTAGAGGCCTATAAACTGCCGTTGGAAACATGGAAGAGCGGGACGCATATCGCCATCACGAAGGGCATTTATTGGGAGGAGGAGGTTCAGGTAGCGGGCCGAGTAGAAGGGCTAGCTACAAAGAAGGACCAGGTCACCTTGAGTTTCAGACTGGAAGGTACCAAGAACGAGAGCTTGGTGAAGTGGTCTGGAAGCCATCCTGGAGTAGCCTTGGAGGTGGACATCTGCCAACCGGGTTGCAGTCTGATTTCAAAAGACGGGCTGCTTCATTGCCTGGTGGTTCAGAAGGTGCTGGATTCTACAAGGACAGCTTGGATGAACAATCTGGTGGCTGCAGAAACTCCGATGGGAGCCGAGGACGAGTTGCGGAGGCTCCGTTTGCGAGAAAAAGAGCTTGCCAAGCAGAAGAGGACAGAGGACGACAAAGGAGTTGGGGAGCCTCAAGAGGACACCTTGTCCGGAAGCTCCGAAGACGCAAAGAAGAAGCGGAAGAAAAAGAAGAAGAAGGACAAGGTGAGGGTTGTCGGGACGAAGAGCCCGGCAGCCCTCTTTGCCACAACCGCTCTCGACCCAAAGCCGGAGGTGCGGAGGAGAGTCAGGAGAAGAGCAAGGCGCCTTACAAAGAGGAGAAACAAGAAGGAGTCAACGGGCTCGTCAGGGAGCTCGTCGGTGACATCAGATACCGGCAGCTCCGAGGCCGACGGCGCTCGGCTATTCGGAGAAGAAGTTCGAGTAAAAAAGGTATGGAGGAAGAGCCCGGGGGCGTTGACGTTGAATACTTTGGAGCAGATGCAGCTGGCGGTGGTCACCGCGTCCGGCCAGATGTGGGACCTGGACCGCAGCTCCCGGCCTCCAATTTTCAGCCAGTATTGGCAGCTGGCCTTGCAGAGCAAGATGAGCGGCCCCCTTGACAGGGAGTCGCAAACGCTTTGCTTCCTGCAAGACTTGCTCTTGCAGGGCAAGGTGGCAGCTGCGTGCGACCTGGTGACCCAGAGGCTCAAAGGTCTGGAACAGATCTCAGCTGGAGGACACTACAGCATCGCCCAGATCAGGAGTTGGTGCCGCTGGACTTCCATCAGATGACAACAGCAACAGAAGCACTGGAGGCCAGCAGGATTCAGCGCGAGGAGTTTAAGGCAAAGAGCCTTTCAAGCCGCCCCTGGGAAAAGAAACCCGAGTGGGAGAAGAGATCAGAGGAGCCAAAGGGAAAAGGCAAGACAAAGGACAAAGGCAAGTTAAAGGGAAAAGGCGATCGTCAAGCTCAAGGAGGAGTCAGCAAAGAGGATCGAGAGAAGAAGTAGAGGCTAGCCCTGAATGTGGACCCTGGGTGCGTGGACACGGTTCTGTGTGGAAACCGCCTATGGGTCTTATGGGGCGGAATGGAGGGGAGTCTGCTGGCTCCGGTATGCGTGAAGGGGAGCTGGTTGGCTCCGGAGGCGATGGTTGGGAGTTGGAAGACTCCGGAGAGGCACAGCAATGGAGTGCCGCTATGAGGGGAGATAGTACAGCATCTCCGGTAGTTGGGGAAGATAACGGGCCGTCCCGTTTTCCTGACACTGGTGGTGACCCAATTTTTCATACGCCCCCACACGCGCCGACCGGTGCCGAGGGGGTGGGGCATTTTAGAGTTTCTCCTGAGGGCAAGAGCTTTGCGGAGATGGCTGGCCATTTTCATCAGATGTTTTCCTTCTTTCGTGCTGGTTCGGATTTTGTTCATAGCAGGGTCCAGTGCTCAGGTGAAGTTTTTCCTTTACCTGAAAACCTTACGGTTCTTTTTTCACAGGTTGGTCATCTCTCAGCCGACGGCGTGGTAGTCTTGCAGGCATTGTGCAGTGCGCTGAACTCTTACTACGGAGATGCAGGGGCCAAACAAGGTCCACTCACGGTGGCGTGCCAAAGTGCCCTGCAGGCGATGAGTCGCTATGCCGACGACTGGAGCCGGTTAATCATGAACATGGTGCCCGTCAACAAATTGTGTCGCAACCTGGGTGGTGATATCTCTACACTTCCGTCATGGGCTGGTATGACACCGTACCTGCTGGAGGACGAGCAGGTGTTAGTGATGTCCTCGGAAGACATTAGATGCTTTTTCTATTTGTTTGAGGTCCCGGTGTCATGGCGTCCATTCATGGCTTTCAACAAGCCAGTCCCGCGGCATGTGGTGGGTGATGGTGTCTATGAGGCCCACTACCTTGCTAGCAGGGTCTTGCCAATGGGGTTCCTTAACTCAGTCAGTGTGGCGCAACACGTCCACCGTCGCATTGCAAGGATGTCGCTGCATGGGTTGCAGCCCAGCCTGGGCCCACAGTGTGAGCTGAGAAAGGACAGGCCTTTCACAGTGGCACAGTGGGTCTACAGGATCTACTTGGACAACTTTGACGCGCTTGAGCAAATGGATCCCTTGATGGCTGCGAGGGTGCGTGGGGAGGTGTCGGCTGAAGTGTTGGCCCTCCGGGGTGGCTACCAACATTGGGGTTTGCCACGTCATCCAAAAAAGGCCGTCCAGCAGGAGACCATTGTAGAGATTCAAGGTGCGGTGGTGGACGGGGTTACCGGCATGGTAAAGCCAAAGCCGAACAAGGTCTTGAAGTACGCCGAGCTTGCCTGGAGTCTCCTACAGGATGGGAGAGCGAGTCAAAAGCAGCTACAAATTGTGTGCGGCGGTTTGGTCTACTGCAGCATGATCAGGCGGCCCCTCTTGGGAATGCTGAACAAGGTGTGGAGCTTCGTGGTGGGGCTTAGCTCAGAGCCTCCTGTGGTGCGCAAGGAACTGCCGCAGTCGGTCAAGTTTGAGCTTTGCCGGTTCTTGTGTGCCTTGCCACTTGCGCAGATGAACCTGAGGACTCCGGACAGCAAGTGACGCCTTCTTGAGACGGGTGGAGGATTCTGCGTCAGCAGGGGCCTCACGCCGATGGGAGTCCACGCGGCGCAATGCAGTGTGCGAGGGGACATGCCCGAGTTGGAGGACTTTGTTCAAGTACTGACGGTGGGGTTGTTCGACGGCGTCAGAGCCCTTCGAGTGGCAGCTGATGTGCTTCAGCTCCCCATGGGAGGCCATATCAGTGCAGAGGTCTCCGTTGAGGGCTCTCGGGTGCTGGAGAGCAACTTCCCGGACACCATTGCCGTGGGAGACGTGGCCGGCATCTCGGAAGACATGGTGCTTGGCTGGGCCTTGAAGTTCTCAAATGCCGGGGTTGTCTTGGTAGGGGGTGGACCTCCTTGCCAGGGCGTCTCCGGATTGAATTCCGACCGGAAGGGCGTGCTGAAGGATGCGCGTAGCAAGTTGTTCGTCCATGTCCGTCGGGTTTACGAACTATGCAAGAAGCACTTCAGATGGGCTCAGGCGCACTACTTCATGGAAAGTGTTTTCTCGATGGATGCAAAGGACCGTGCTACAATGAGCGCGGATATTGGCGTAACGCCGTACCTGGTCGATGCGGCCGGGATTTCCAGCTGCCGGCGACCTCGACTGTATTGGCTATCCTGGGAGCTGCGTTGGGCCAAAGGCGTTCAAATCAGTGAGGGTACAGGAGTTGGTTGGGAGTTCTACAGGGTGATAACCTTGGACTCCGTGGTGGAACCCGCAGACTACCTGTGTCAGGGGTGCACCACTGCCAGGCCGCGAGCGCAGCCAGGAAATCGCCCTGCAGGACTGTGGCAATGTCAAAGTTGGGAGTTAGAAAGGTGGCAGCAAGATGACCACCGATACCCTCCTTATGTCTACCGCGACAAGCATTGCCTCGTCAACAGTGTGGGAGACAGGCGTCTCCCTAACATTGCGGAGAAGGAAGCAGCAATGGGGTTCCCAGTCGGGTATACAGCTCCTTGCCTTCCAAAAAGCAAACAAAAGGGAACTGAATATAGTGATGTACGCCATACTCTCATCGGCAACTCGTGGCATGTGCCCGTTGTTGCTTGGTTGCTGAAGGAGTCGTTTGCACCACTGGGGCTTGTATACAAAGCTGCGTACAGTACACGATGTGGTGTTGGGAGCCTCCCCGGGCGCCGACCAGACCCTGCAGGGATACCTCCGGCGGTTGCCCTTGCGCCCTGTGCGCAACAAGGAAGCGGAGGCTCCGGAAGGCCAGCTTGCCAAGAAACTCATCAACTTTGTGTCAGTCAAGGGCGAAGATCTGCTCCTCCAGGCCCCTAGCGTGGGCGCTGTGAAATTCCACCGGTTGCGGGCTTCCGTACCCAGCAAATTGTGGCGGTGGAGAGTGGTACCAAATGAGAGCGACTTTTAAGGCTGTCTTCCGAACGGTCAACAGACTGGTGAAGGGTATTCAGATGTGCGGCACACCCTCATTGGGAATTCTTGTACGTGCCTACCGAACAGCTTACTCGAAAGCTTGTGAATTTTATCTCTGTTAAAGGGGAGGACCTACTACTGCAGGCCTCCACTGAGAACACAGTCCGTTCTCACAGGTTACGAAGTTCGGTTCCAAGCCGTTGGTGGCGTTGGAGAACCATTTGGTGTAAACGCCGAGGAGCAGCAGAATCCATCACTATTAACGTGGCGGATGTGGTACGTAGACTCCGATGGTGGAAAAATAGCTCTACTGAGACGGTGAGTGATTTTCTGAGGCGGTGAGTGATTTGGGATTAGGAAATTTCCAGTGTCGACCATATAGCCTCCGCCGTGGCGGAGCTACTTTCTGGTTTACTAAGCATGGTTCCTTGGACCGTTCCCTAATTCAGGGAAGGTGGCAAGCTCCTAAATCGGCGCGAATTTAGATTCACTCTGGACTTGCTACCCTAGCGGAGATGAAACTCCCAATGCATAAACTTCGAGGATTTTTACCAGTTTACCGACAATCCGTACATCAACCGTTACCGAGCCTTGAGCACCCTCGCAAAGCGAGGGAGTCAGGGGGACGTGGAAAGAGACGTGGAGTCAAATTTTTCTGTGGTTTGCAGGGTGATTTGTGAGGAAATTGGGGGATGGTGAATTCCCCTTGTGACTTTTAAGGTACTTGGGGCCTAGTTTATTTCCGGCTTGGCGGAAATGACTAGGGGGTACCAAAGGAGAGCGACTTTTAAGGTGCTTGGGGCCTAGTTTATTTCCGGCTTGGCGGAAATGACTAGGGGGCACCAAATGAGAGCCTTGAGGCCTGAATTTCTTCCTGGCATGCCGGAAGTTTTCAGGGGGGCTCTAAACGGAAGTTTTCATTCGTTATGTTTTTTCCTGCGCCGGGGTGGAGCTACCTTTTGGTTCTCCAAACACGGGTCATTAGATAGGTTGTTGATCCATGGCCGTTGGCAGACGCCTAAAACGGCACGCGTTTACATTAACAATGGACTTGCCACACTTGCTGAAATGAAGATCCTCATGTCAAAGCTCCGAGGGTTTGTTAATATTTATAAACATTCCCTTGCTCAACCTGTGCCGAACCTTGAGCATGCTCATAAGAGCAGTTCAGGGGGACGTGGAAAGAGGAGAAAAAATGTGTTTTTTTTGCTGAAAGAGATCAATGTGGGCAGAGCCCAATGGAGAAGTGGGGCCCTTATTCGTTTAATTGGTACTTGGGGCCTGGTTTTATTCCTGGCTTGGCAGGAAGGACTGGGGAGTACCATAAACAATTTTAAGACCCTGAGGCCTGAAACCCTTCTGGCTTGGCAGAAGGTTTTTGGGAGGGTTAGAGCTCTGGGAATGAGCTTTCTGATTGCATTTTTTCTATTTTAATTTGACAACAATGATCCTGCTATGCGGTAAAAGAAGGTTGTGTGAGCCCTTGTTCCTACGGCCACGGGGATAAGGGTGAACCATACCTGCTTTGCCTGCAGTTTCGGCTTCAGCTCCCTCCCTCACACCGCCCTTTTTGGGTGGAAAGAGGAGAAAAAATGTATTTTTTTTTGCTGAAAGAGATCAATGTGGGCAGAGCCCAATGGAGAAGTGGGGCCCTTATTCGTTTAATTGGTACTTGGGGCCTGGTTTTATTCCTGGCTTGGCAGGAAGGACTGGGGAGTACCATAGACAATTTTAAGACCCTGAGGCCTGAAACCCTTCTGGCTTGGCAGAAGGTTTTTGGGAGGGTTAGAGCTCTGGGAATGAGCTTTCTGATTGCATTTTTTCTATTTTAATTTGACAACAATGATCCTGCTATGCGGTAAAAGAAGGTTGTGTGAGCCCTTATATATATAATTATATATATATATTATATCTAATATATATATATATAATTATCCTGAAATCCCCATCTTGGATTTCTTTGAAAGGGTGGTGTTCCCATGAGTTTTGGGGCTCCTTTGTTTGAGGATGTTGTTGAGTTCGTTGTTGTCCAATCTGAACCCGTTGTGCCGAGGTGAGAAGGTAGGTCACTTTGGCTGGATCGACTGAGAGCTGAGACAATGATATGGGCCCCACAGCAAGACCTCCCAGGTAAGGGGCTTATAATCCGTCATATATATATATATTACAATGGGGATACACTTGGAATATATTGGGATGTTTCCCAGCTTCAGGACTATGGATAGTTAACAACTCATGAACGGACCTGCAACCGGGGCCATCATTGGAACAGCCGGTGGCGGATTTTCCAGAGACAAAAAAGGATATCGCTGGCACACCAGGGGAGTCCCAGGAGGTTTGCTGATCTTCCATGAGATCCTGATATTCGGTATAGGTTAGGACCCTTATTTCATGGTGAAAAGTTTCGTCCCTGTTGAGTTTCTTGTTGGCTATACCCCTCTTTTGGTATAACTATACCATGGTATACCCCCCATTTTCGTGAAGCAACATTGCAATTTCAGTGTCAGATCGGTCAGGCACCTGAACCTATGCCCTGCGTGGAGAACCTGAAGCGCACCTTTAGGTGCGCTCTGCTGCCTGGCTCGGCAGTGTTTTGGTCCCATCTTTTCCATCTACCCTATCTATCCGATATCTATCCGATATCTATGCTATCCATCTATCTGCCATATCTATCCTGTGTTTCCATATTCTCCATCTACTTCTTTCCTACCAATCCATCTCTACGTCTACTTCTTTGTCACCTGTTTGTTGCCTGCAGGAAGGCTTTAAATTGGGCTTCCCGGAGTTTCCGGTCCTTGATTGTCAGATCAGAAACTATGATTCTCAGCTGATACAGCAGTAGATGCAAAGACCACTGAATCTTCAGCATTTCACTGAAGCGCATTGAAAGGTAAAGATTAGATTAAATTGTTCTGCGTCTGCCAAAAGTGAGAAATCATTGGCCGGACTTGCTGGTTCGGACTATTTTTGCGCATTTTGGCATGTTTGCGAATCTTTGGTCTTCCCGGGTATGACGCATATCAACGGCATTGTGTTCTTTTTCAAGGGGATGCTGAAGTCGAAAAAACTTCATTTCATCAGATGTGGAGTTTGGCAGCAAGGACCTGGCCCCAGCCTGCCATCCTATGCCCATAGATTTCTAACCATAATCCACAGCCGACAACATGTCTATCCGGTCCCGGGCAGTTTGGCGTATGATCGCCTCACTTTGGCTGGAGAGAGGCGGCAGGGTAGATGTGCCAAAGTGAATATGGCTGCCTGACGACAGCGTCACGTTTGAGTTGTCTACTTCTTCCAAACTTTGGGTACAGCGTGAAGATACGGTCATGCTGGTACAAACTGAGATTTGTTGAAAAAAACACCGCGACATGGCCGGAGATATTGGTTCTTCTCAAATTCGTTGATGCTTTCCATGCAGTGTGGAATCCCATGGCCGAAATAGTAGCATGCAGCATAAACACATCTAGAACATGAATTTTCTGTCCTTAGCTGGTACCGAAACACTCACATATTTTGCTGTTGCCATGCCGTTGGTTTCACTGTTCCAGTGGCATTTTTGGGTGCTTTTCTAGGCCTGTGCTGGCGAACGAAACCGTGATCGTACAAAGCTACAAATGTCAGGCCCATTGAAACTTGGCGGCTGTCATGGGTCGAGTCGTTGTTTCCACAAAAATGTCCCGCAATGGGGTGCTGTCATAGATCATACCTTCTTCATAAGATCCCAAGACCATTCAGATTCATCTAGAACTTGGTATATACCTTGGTACCAGCATCCAATCCAATCGTGTTCCGTGAGTCCGTGACTCGGAGCGCGACCTGCGCGACAGGTCCTCAGCAGCCTTTTGGATGAGGCCGAAAGCAGATCCAAAGGGAAGGTCCGGGAAATTGCCTTCCCAGTCTCCGAGGCCGATGGATCGGCCGATGGATCCGATGGATCCGCCCCAAAATTGGGTTGGGACATGGGACATGTGTAAGACAGAAAAAAGGCCTATGGCCTATTGATTGATGGCACATGAATATTTTTGGGAAATGATGATCCACGAGATTCCGGGCCTATTCGAAGATGATCATGTTTTTTGCAAGTCTTTCAGGGCAAGTTGCAGGTGGTTTCAATGATGCTTTGTCAGCTTCTCGCATCATGTCCTTTTACGGAGATATAGAAACTATCTCCTAGATTTCCAGGGATTGTGGATATTCATTGGTTATTCATATGAAAAACCAATGGATATTTCCGGAGACAAGCGAGGCGCAGATTGGGGATACTCCACCAAGGATTTTCGAAGGGGCAGGAACTATCACATATTTCCCAAGATATGATACATATAATAATAATAATGATAATAATAATAATATGTATATACATAATAATCATACATAATATTACATATATAATATTACATATATAATATTATATATATAATATTATATATAATGTTACATATATAATATTAAATACATTATATTACATATATAATATCACATATATAATATTGCATATATAATATTACATATATAACATTACATATATAACATTACATATATAATATTACATATATAATATTACATATATAATATTACATATATAATATTACATATATAATATTACATATTTAATAGTACATATATAATATTACATATATAATATTACATATATAATATTACATATATAATATTACATATATAGTATTACATATATAATATTACATATATAATATTATATACAATGTTATAATATAAATAAATAAATAAATAAATAAATAAATATATATATATATATTCTCTTTAACCACATAGTGTGCATATATATATATATTACATGTATGATGATAGCATCATGAATAAGATATGTGACAACAGTATGACTGCCCAAGATATGTATGACCATGTCCCAAAATCATCGATTTTTTGGGATCAACACATTTCAAGAGCATCTGCAATCCCCCCGCTAGTCAGGCTGCAGCGCAGCTGGCGAAATTGAGAGCGCAAGAGAAGAAACTTCTGGAGGTCGGTGGTTCCAAAATCCAGGGATGCGGCTTTGTAAAGTAGGGATTTAGTGGGATTTCATGGGATATCAGGATGATATATATGGAATACAAAGGGATTAATATAGCACCCCCGAAGCCCGATGGATTGTTGGATCATGTTGGTGGAGATTTTCTAACAAGGCTAACAATGGACATTTAACAAGGCGCGAAAAACATGTGTCTTGCTGGGCACCAACTTCAGCAACTCATCATGTCTCCAGATCGTTTTTGCCCAGGAAGGCATCCGGTGATTTGCTCGTTTCACCACTTTCTGGGCCTTTCATTTGCAGAGGATGCTTGCCCATTGACCAGACTCTTTTCATGAAGAAAATCGCACAAAAAACGGTGGACATGTCTCATGATCATAACTGGACTCGTCCGGTCAAAACATGATAGTTTCCCATCAAGCAACTGATTGATTCTTTGAAACAAAGCGGACATTTCCTAGTAGATTACCGCATTCCATCTATTGGGAAATCCCGACTAAAATAGGCTAGTATTGGGGGCATTCTGGCATACCCCATTTTTGAATAAACCCCAAATCATATTAAGTTGAGATTTGATTATACACAATTACTGTATACATACATATATATATATAATCATGAACTATCCCAATTTTTCCGGGTGAAATGTTGGTTTCCCTGGTCTTCCGACAGTTTTTCAGAACATTGAACTTTCCCCCCGGACCAGGTTGATGGAACGGAGGTGTCCGACTCCCAAGTTGCGGAGCTGTCGGTCCGGATGCCGAGAGCCAAGCCGCCCCAAGCCGTGCGTTTCGCAATGCACTTGGTATATTTATGGGATTTAACATGATTTACCCATCAACTTGATGGGATTCGTTGGGATTTCATGGGATATATATATATAATGCGTTTTAACCATCAGAATGGGGATTTGGTGGGATTTAGTGGGATATCACGATGATATATATATATATTATATGGAATACAATGGGATACATAGTGCCCCCAGTCATAGAAAAGTTGGAAACCTCGAAATTATGGAGGAGACATCATCGAACTAACATCCTGGAAACACTTTGCGGCATCTTTTTTGGCACCCCTAAAATCAAGCGATATTTTGCTTGCTGCTACAGGCCCCTCTGTTGATAGCTACTTCAACCCATTTCGTTAGTATAGGATCAATAGGGAAAGCCATAATTAATTGCCATAATTTGGGAGGGAGTATATAATTATGATTAAGCTAGCTTTTTGTCATTCCCGCAATATGTGACCTTGAAAGAACGGAGAACATGAAACTTAATCAGTGGAATTTAGAGACACCAAGTATTTGGACTAAACCATTGGGAGACTTTACATGCAAGATCTGCAAGATTCCATACAATTTTCATCCTCGAATTGTCAAATGCAGAGGATTATGATTTTACATCATTTTCCATCAAGGATAGGGCATGGAGAGTAGGGGATAGAAATGATGGAGAGAATCAGAATGGGAGGTATATCCCAATCATAGATTCGCCGGTGTGTCTAAGAAAAGGGAGCCTCTCCCAAGTTGGAGATGTCAATCAGGTCTACCATGAGTTACCTACAGAGTGGCGGTATCAACATGTATCGACCAGCAAATGATGGAGTCTCAGGGATCCCAAAATAGTGAACTTATAGGCAGCAAGCGGACAGCGTTCTCCATGGCCCTACAAAGCCTAGGCGAAGTTGAGAAACCTGGAGAAGACCCGGAAAGAACTGCTGGCGACTGGGATGCCATGCGGCCATTTTCACCTGTTTTTTTTTTTGATTTTTGTTTGGCGACCCCGCAGGACAGGTCTAAAAAGGATGAGGTGGAACCTGGCTTTACAGGTGGCAGTTGAATAGCTTGGTGCTGGTACATTGGCGGATACGACAAGATGGACACACGATTTGAATTCTTCGATTGATATGCGAAAAGGGGGGGGGCATGAATCGGACTCTGAATTTCAGACATCACATCTTTTCATGTATTTTTTCAGTATTTTGTTTTTCAGGAGTGAGACAATATTTCGCAATTGGCCAATTGGCAGATGACATGGACACAAATTGGATGCCTCCCTTCTGAAAGACCAATCAACATTTCTGGATTCATTTTCCTCAATCCTTTGGCCACTGGATGGTTCGGTAAAAGCAATCAACATTTTAGTGCTTGAATCATTTGATGATTAGAAATCATGTTAAATTTCATCAATTCTTGGATCACGAAATATATAAACATCATGATAAATTTGCCAGTATCCAACTTTTAAGATGACTAAATTTAGGAAAGCAGCCTTTTCTGGACAGATCTTCCAATGGAGCATTTCTCCATTTCAAAAAACTCCCAGGTTCAAGGCATCTCGCCCCCTGTGCGCTTCTTCATGGAAACGGTGGGGCACCGCAGTCCCACCTTGGGAGATGGTGCAATTTGGGGATTGCTACGTATGGTAAATTACGGTAAACCTCATAAACCTACCATTTGGGGATGATAGTTCCAACACATAGTGTTTTTATTCGGAATGGTTATTGGGTTTGCTATCTCTATGTTTAGCTCGCGAGAGAGTCTTCAATACAAGTAGTACCCAGGCCAGCGGGGGAATCCCAGATTATCATTTTGAGTTTCTCCTGGTTGTTCAAGTTGTTCAACCATTCTTTTGCCTTGGCACAGAAATTCATGATGTCTGAATCTTCCTCCCAATCATGATCATGAATATTCATGGCCTCTCCAAGATGTGCTCAAGCCAGATCTGTGTGAAGAGGTCCTGGCCGATTCGTCGCTTGTTTTTTTCATCGACACATGGGAAGCGCTGCCTCTGCACCGCAGACGAGCGCCGGGCAGACCGGGCAGAAGGCAATGGGATATCCATTGGAGGCCGAGAAGATCAGTGCCTCGGACAACGGGACGGTCACCAAGGGAGATAACCAGGGTATAGTGGGTATAACATGGTAATATAAATGGGCTAACGCCCTGGTGCCGGCCCCCCTTTTAGGGTAATCTGGGTGGGGGAGGTGCTGACAAAGGCCGGCCAGTTTTAAACAAGTTTTAAGCTGTGTGAGGTTTTAAGGGTTGTGAGGGTTTTAAGGCTTTTCAAGGGTGGCTAAAAGCTGCCACGTAGCAGTTTCGAAACCGTAGATAGACCCAAGATAGACCCAGTTTGCGGGGCTTACACGGCCTGCTGCGGCGTTGACAGAAGCGTGGTCAATTTTAAGCTTTTGGAGGTTCTGACAAAGGCCGGCAAGTTGTAAGCTTTTTGAGGTTTTAAGGGTTTTGAAGGGTATTAAGGCTTTTCAAGGGTGGCTAAACACTGCCACGCAGCAGTTTCGAAACCGCAGGTAGACCCAAGATAGACCCAGTTTGCTTACGCAGCGTGCCACGGCGGCCGTCCACTTTGCGAGCGCAGCTTGCTGCGGCGTGGACAGAGGCGGGAACGCAGGCTTGGCCAATTTTAAGTTTTTGGAGGCGCTGAGAAAGGCCGGCCAGTGTTAGGCTTTTTGAAGCTTTAAGCGCTTTAAAGCTTTTCAAAGGTGACTAAAAACTGCCACGTAGCAGTTTCGAAACCGTAGATAGACCCAAGATAGACCCAGTTTGCTTACGGAGCGTGCCACGGCGGCCGTCCAAAGCTGTAGGCTGGCGCGAAAGAGGCGGGCCAATGATTGCTAAGGAGCTGGGAAAGCTGGCGGAGGTAGAGGGTCGAAAGCTGTAGGCTGGTGCTGACAGAGATGAACCAATGATTGCTAAGGAGCTGGCAAAGCTTGCGCAAGGAAGGCCACAGCCACGGCCGCAGTTTCAAACCGTAGATAGACCCAAGATAGACCCAGTTTCCGGGGCTTACGCAGCCTGCTGCGGCGTTGACAGAGGCGGGAACCTAGTCTTGGCCAATTTTGAGCTTTTGGAGGTGCTGACAAAGGTCGGCCAGTTTTGAGCTTTTTGAGGTTTTAAGGGTTTTGAAGGTTTTCAAGGGCGGCCAGCAACTGCCACGTAGCAGTTTCGAAACCGTAGATAGACCCAAGATATAGACCGAAGATCTAGACCCAGTTTGCTTACGGAGCGTGCTACGGCGTCTGTCGAAAGCCGTAGGCTGTTGCTGACAGAGGCGGGCCAATGATTGCTAAGGAGTTGGCAAAGCTGGCGCAGGTAGAGCGTCGAAAGGTGTAGGCTGGTGCTGACAGAGACGAGCCAATGAGTGCTAAGGAGTGGCAAAGCTTGCACAAGTAAGCCACGGTCGCACACCTGCGGTGATCCCGGGTGCCGCCCCGCCTAGGCCAAGGCTAGGCAGGGGTCGGCGGATATGGTATAATGGATATAGAATGAGGATATGTGGAATATAACGATATATAAACAGGGTTTCTCCAAGCCATGGGAAAAAATCCTCCTTTGTACCTGGGATGTTGGGAGCAACCTTGTAATATTTCGAGGAAAATAGGGCATACCCCCAGGAGTTACTATTTTAATAGGACGCATGCCGGATTTCGTTGTGATTTAATGGGTATCCAGTTTTCAGATGGTGATACCGGGATGGTCCCTGAGGTTGCATGGTACATGGATGACAACCATTTGTAGCTGGGAATGTTTTGCAAAATTGGCAAAATCTTTTTGGCTATACTTAAAATCAATGGAACGGAACTGTTTTCCCATTATATACCAATTATCTTACGCATTTATGTATATGTATGTATATGTCATCATAAGATATCCCATTATGGTACGATTATATAACATATACCATTGTTGTTTTTTCGTTTTAAAATATCAGTCTAAGTATACCAATCGGTTTGGGCCAGTTCTCAACTGGCTCGGATCCTCCCAGGTATATTCGAGTTGCTGGACAATTCCAGGACCGACAGACCTGTCCGAGCTGCTGGGTTAAGCATGGATTACTAGGGGCTGAGTTGTGGGTTGGGGTTGAGTTGAAGAATGCGTTCTGTAGCATTTCACTTCTAGACAGTGTCCTGTTTCAATTGTACCGCGTGATCAATGTTTTCAGGGGTTTCCTGCCTGAGGTGATCATCACAAACGGTTTGGATGTTATCGATGAGCTTCACCACGCTATTTCTGTGTTCTTCCCACTTTTGAGTTGTTGGGGTTGCGTTGCATATCTCAAGTCCCATTGCAAAAATTTCCGGTGCCCAGGCAGTAGCGTACAACGCAGAGCAATGGGAGGCGCGCTTTGGAGAGACCTGCCGAAAGCTCAAGAAGCAGGTGCTGCAGATGGTCCTATCCGACCTATCCCACCCTGATCGTATGATTCTGTATCCAGGGATGCGATTCACATGTGGGGATCTATTGCCGATTAGATATTTAAATGATTATCAATGTATGTGTACGCATAGAGGTATGTATGTATCTATAAATACAAGTATACAGATATAACTACAGTATATAGATTTCTAACATGTATATGTATTGATAAGCAAAAAGGTAAATTTCTATCTATCTATCTATCTATCTAGCTACCTACCTCTCTATCTATCTACCTATCTATCTATCTATCTATCTATCTGTCTATCTATCTATCTATCTATCTATCTATCTATCTAATCCTATCTATCTAATCCTATCCAGCTATCTATCTAATCCTATCTATTTATCTATCTCATCCTATCTATCTATCTAATCCTATCTATCTACCTAATCCTATCTACCTAATCCTATCTATCTATCTATCTATCTATCTATCTAATCCTATCTATCTATCTAATCCCATCTATCTATCTAATCCTATCTATCTATCTAATCGTATCTATCTATCTAATCCTATCTATCTATCTAATCCTATCTATCTAATCCTATCTATCTCTGTAATTGTATCTATCTACCTAATCCTATCTATCTATCTAATCCTATCTATCTACCTAGTGCTATCTATCTACCTAATCCTATCTGTCTATCTCATCCTATCTATCTATCTCATCCTATCTATCTATCTCATCCTATCTCATCCTATCTCATCCTATCTCATCCTATCTCATCCTATCTCATCCTATCTCAACCTATCTATCTATCTCATCCTATCTATCTATCTAATCCTATCTTTCTATCTATCTACCTATCTACCTATCTATCTATCTATCTATCTCATCCTATCTATCTATCTGATCCTATCTATCTATCTATCTATCCCATCCTATCTATCTATCTCATCCTATCTATCTATCTCATCCTATCTATCTATCTCATCCTATCTATCTATCCCATCCTATCTACCTATCTCATCCTATCTCATCCTATCTATCTCATCCTATCTATCTAATCCTATCTACCTAATCCTATCTATCTAATCCTATCTATCTATCTATCTATCTATCTATCTATCTATCTATTGATCTATCTATCTATCTATCTATCTAATCCTATCTATCTAAATCTATCTAATCCTATCTATCTATCTAATCCTATCTATCTAATCCTATCTACCTAATCCTATCTATCTAATCCTATCTATCTATCTATCTATTTATCTATCTATCTATCTATCTAATCCTATCTAATCCTATCTATCTAATCCTATCTACCTAATCCTATCTATCTAATCCTATCTATCTATCTATCTACCTATCTATCTATCTATCTATCTATCTATCTATCTATCTAATCCTATCTATCTATCTAATCCTATCTATCTATCTAATCCTATCTATCTATCTAATCCTATCTATCTATCTATCTATCTATCTAATCCTATCTATCTATCTAATCCCATCTATCTATCTAATCCTATCTATCTATCTAATCCTATCTATCTATCTATCTAATCCTATCTATCTATCTAATCCTATCTATCTATCTAATCCTATCTATCTATCTATCTAATCCTATCTATCTATCTATCTATCGATCTATCTATCTATCTATCTATCTCTCTATCTATCTATCTATCTCATCCTATCTATCTATCTAATCCTATCTATCTATCTAATCCTATCTAATCCTATCTAATCCTATCTAATCCTATCTAATCCTATCTAATCCTATCTAATCCTATCTAATCCTATCTAATCCTATCTATCTATCTATCTATCTAATCCTATCTATCTATCTAATCCTATCTATCTATCTATCTATCTATCTAATCCTATCTATCTATCTATCTATCTAATCCTATCTATCTATCTATCTACTCCTATCTATCTATCTAATCCTATCTTTCTTTCTATCTAATTCTATCTATCTATCTATCTAATCTTATCTATCTATCTAATCCTATCTATCTATCTAATCCTATCTATCTATCTAATCCTATCTATCTACCTAATCCTATCTATCTATCTCATCCTATCTATATATCTCGTCCTATCTATCTATCTAATCCTATCTAATCCTATCTAATCCTATCTAATCCTATCTAATCCTATCTAATCCTATCTAATCCTATCTAATCCTATCTATCTA